TTTAGTTTGTGCCTTCAAGTCGTTGCTCATAGGAAGACGTTACTGGATATAACCTAACGGAATATCTTCAGAACGGCTTCAAATGACACTAAACTCAGATGGGTGAGTAGAACATGATGGAATAACGGAAAATCAAGGAACAATGGGGAAAAAAAATGGCGTTCCCCTTTAACCGAGGGACCGAGGGATAATAGCCGCTGGATCTTCAACAGCTTGGAGCAAAACCTTCACTGCTAAAGCTACATGAACTCTATTACAGATAATATCACTAAAGTTTACCTGAGAAGTAAATAAACAAGAAAGTGATTCTGACTAAAAGGAAGAATCAAGCTCTGTTGGTCATAGTGATGCTGAGCTGGTGACCATTTATCACGCTGAGAAAACCCTGAAATCAATGTTTTTATGTGTTAGAGTAACTTAAAGATAGCAAAAAGAAAATTCAGATTAAATCAATTAACAAACCAAGGGAAGAGTACAGCAGGTCTTTACGTCACTGGAACGGTTTTAAAACCAGTCTTCCTTCAACGGCTTTGCTACAAATTGCTTATTTCAGGAGAAAATCCGATTCTCTGCAGATCATTGGAGCAACACTTCTCTATGATAATAGTTGGTTAAGTTATGCATCAGAAGTTAATGAGTTTGTTTCCTTTTGAACTGATGACTGGTGAATTCAGCACAGACCTACAGCTTAGGTTTCAGAAAACCTTTATTCTGCTTATAGCCTTTCTTTCTGTTTCGCTCTTAAACAGCCACTCAGAAGCACTTTGAAGTGCAGTCAAAGGCAAATATAAAACGAGCGGATTCTTCTGTGAAGAGGTGCCTTTTGGTTGGGGCTATTCCCCAGCCTCTGCAGGCCTCAGGCCTGTGTGGCACCACCACCTCCAGTGGCTGGCAGCCTGAGACATAGATTATCTCCTGAAGCTTTGAAGGGTTTGCCTGTAAAGAGGACAAAGCAGGAATCAACTCCCTCCGCCATGACAGGAAATACTAATGTGGCTAAAATGAAAGGCCTCTTATGCAAAACACACCCTGCCTTATTTTAAGGCTTCTGTGGGTTAGTGATTAATGTTAAGCTAAGGGCGTCCTGTGAAAGGCTGGGGGGGTCAGACTGGGGGTGACTTGTTAAAGTTGAAGGTCTGTCCATCTGCTCTAAATGTGGCTGAACTAAACACCAACTCTAGTCAACGTGTTTTTCTGAAGACCCCGAGGATGATCCAGGCTGGAGACGATTCTCTGCACATGTGGAACTGAATTTATTTCTGCTTTAAAGAGGTGAATTTATTTTGGAGCAAAATATGCAAATCAGCCTAAAAACAGTAAAATAAAGTGAGCCTGAAGCTGTAAAGAGTCGTGACCTGTGAGGAAAAGGTCCGTCTAGAGTTCCAGTCATTTGAACCTTTAGCTCCACAGCTTGAATGGAAACATGTTTAGATCTGATGAGGAAGCAACGGCGCACATTGGGGGGGGGGCGCTGGCGTCATTTAGTGGCGCCATCTTGGGGAGGTCGACAGCTCCACCAGAGTAATGCGTTCAAGACACAGAATCCATTTTAAATCAACTTTAACTTTAATATTGAACTCATTATCAAAGGTTTTTTTTTTTGCTGAAAACAAAAAAATGGTTCAGTTGATTTCAACATTCTTAGTGGCGTTAATAGAATATTCTGATAGGATGAATGTTGCAAATACATAAATTTTTATGATTTTTCATTACTATATATATATATATATATATATATATATATACATATTAAGCTACACTACTTTTAACTTCATGTCAACAACTGATTTTTCTTTGTTTAAAATAATTTTTAAAATGTTCCATCTGTCCTCAGATTCTAATAAAAGAATCTAAATAAGCTGAGACTAAGTCTAGACTAAGTCTTAGAACGCAAAGCTTTCCTTCCAGACTGACAAGGATTGTTTTCTACTTTCGGCTTCTTTAGATCTCAGATAAAATGTAAAATAGCAAATATAGGTCATAATATGTTCAGACTCCAGGAGAAATCTGATTGTTCAGAAACCAGTGCAGCCTGCAGTCTCAGTGCAGTTTGAGTGGAAATGCCACCTAATGAATCATGAGGGGCGGGGCACCGAGCAGATGTGGTATCGATCACATGGTGAAGTTTGCAGACGATACCACGGCGGTGGGCCTCATCAGAGACGACCTGGACTACAGAGAGGAGGTGGAGCAGCTGGTGGAGCAGAGATAACAGCCTGATCCTGAAGGTGGAGAAGACCAAGGAGATCATGGTGGACTTCAGGAAGAAGCGGCCTAACCACGCTCCACTGCTCATCAACAGCTCAGCTGTAGAGGTGGTCAGCAGCACCACATTCATCACAGACACCCTCACCTGGACTGGAAACACCACCTCACTGGTCCAAAGGGCCCAGAAGCGCTTGGACTTCCTGCCCCCCCCCCCACCTTCTCCAGCAGCACCATAGAGAGCGTTCTGAGCAGCTGTCTCACTGTGTGGTGTGGAGGCTGCAGCGCCTCAGACTGGAAGAAGGTGAGAACAGCAGAGAGGATCATGGGGGCTCCTCTTCCCTCCATTAAAGACATTTCATCCCAGCGCTGCGTGTCCCGTGACATCATCAATGACCCCTCACCCCCCCACCATGAACTGTTCTCCCTGCTGCCCTCTGGGAAGAGGCTTCCCAGCATTCAATGCAGGACCAGCAGGTTCTGCAGCAGCTTCTTCCCCACCGCCATCACACTGATCAACTGTCAGACTCTGCATCAAACCGACCAGTTAAATGCTTTTTTTGCTCCATGTTTTTTCTCCCACACTGTTTACATTTGATTACTGCTCCACTTTATGTATCAAAATGTCATTAGAGCCGTACGAAACGAAATTTCGTACAAAAATAAATGTCTAACTCTACAGTCTTGGCCTAAAGTTGAATGATTCAAATGTTAATATTTCCAAAGTCTACAGCTTCAGTTTCTATAACGGTAATCTGCATATAGTCCAGAATGTTCTAAAGAGTGATCAGCGTAACAGCAATTAATTGCAAAGTCAATATTTGCCTAGAATTTAACTTTATCCCTAAAACACATTTCATGGTGATTGCAGCCCTGCCTTAAAGGAGCAGCTACCATGGTTTCAGTGATTGGTCCATGAACACAGGTGTGGGTGGTGATGAGGACAGGGCTGCAGATCAATCTGTCAGGATTGAGTCAGAATGACGCCACTGGACACTTTAAACAGAGGCTGCTGCTCGGCATCATTGGTTCTCTGCTGTGAACCATGGTTATCTCTAAAGAAACAGTCATCATTGCACTGCACTAAAATGGCCGAACAGGAAAGAGAATGGCAGCTAGAAAGATTGCACCTCAGTCAGCAATCTATGGCATCATCAGGAACTTCAAGGAGAGAGGTTCCATTGCTGCCAAGAAAGACCAGCGAGCGCCAGGACCGTCTCTGAAAAGTGTTTCAGCTGCGGGATGGGGCTACCAGCGGTGCAGAGCTTGCTCAGGAATGGCAGCAGGCAGGTGTGAGTGCATCTGCACTGTGAGGCGAAGACTCTTGGAGCAAGGCCTGGTCTGAAGGAGGGCAGCAAAGAAGCCACTTCTCTCCAGGAAAACCATCAGGGACAGACTGATATTCTGCTAAAGGTCCAGGGAGGGGACTGCTGAGGACTGGGGGAAAGTCATTTCTCTCAGCAATCCCCTTTCCCATTGTTTGGGACATCTGGGAAACAGCTGGTTGGGAGAAGACCAGGTGAGCGCTACCAGCAGTCTGGTCTCATGCCGACTGTAAAGCATCCTGAAACCATTCATGGTGGGGTTGCTTCTCAGCCAAGGGAGTCGGCTCTCTCCCAGTCTGACCTAAAAACAGCCATGAATAAAGAACGGAACCAGAATGTCCTCCCAGAGCAACTTCTCCCAACCGTCCCAGAGCAACTTCTCCCAACCGTCCCAGAGCAACTTCTCCCAACCGTCCCAGAGCAACTTCTCCCAACCGTCCCAGAGCAACTTCTCCCAACCGTCCCAGAGCAGTTTGGTGATGAACGATGCCTTTTCCAGCATGATGGAGCACCTCGCCATAAAGCAAAGCTGATATCTAACTGGCTCAGGGAACAAACAGAGAGATGTTGGGTCCATGGCCTGGAAACTCCCCTCATCTTAATCCCATTGAAAACTTGTGGTCAATCATCAAGAGACGGCGGACAAACGAAAACCTTCTGACCAAATGCGAGCATTGATTGAGCAGAATGGACGCCATCAGTCAGGATTTGGTCCAGAAGCTGATGGAGAGCAGCCAGGGAGAAATGTCCTGAAGAAGAGGAGTCAACACTGCAGATACTGACCTGCTGCATGAACTCATTCTGTCATTAAAAGCTTTGGTTGCTCAGAATATGATGCAATTATATTTCTGGATGTGATGCAACACCTGACATGAACACCAGAGGGCAGCAGATCAGCTGGAAATAGAATATTTGTGTCATTCTCAGTACTTTGGGCCGTTGCTGTACAGCAGCTGCTCTGGTATGGAAGCGAATCGTTACCATATTTCAAATGAAAAAGCATTTCCAGAAATGCAAAAGGATGAGCAGCGTTAAAAAAGAAAATGAAAACAGGATTATTGATTATTAATTTCATTTATCAAACAATGCAGCCACATTCCTAAAATGAAAAAGCATTTCTGAAAATGTTTTCATTTGAAATATGGTAACGATTTGCTTCCATAGGAAAAGGGGAAATGGCGCCGAACAGTGGTGAATATTGGAAGTGCAGTTTAATATAATCCAAGTATGTGAAAAGTTCCTTCTGAAATGAAAATAGTTGTTTAAAACATGGAGTCGTCACGGTTGCTAGGCGACAGTGTACAGGCAGTGAAAGCTGGACGTTCTGCAGCCTTAAGTCCTCCAGCGTCTTCATTTTCAGGGACCTCAAAGGTCCAGGTAGACCGGGTCCTCTGAAACCAAACACACCCACAGGCTGCCCTCCAGCTGCCCGTCTAAATATAATTAAACACTCAACAAAATATAAAACCCTTTTTTCAAAAATGAAAGAATTTTATTTTGACAGCAGTAATTAGCCTGATTTAGCCGGCAGCGCCTTCTACGTTAGTGAGGAGGAAGTTTTCTTCAACGCCGGCGACAAACGACACACAGTGGAAAAAAACAAACATATTTAAGTGCATTTAATGTGAGATAAAATATCTAGGCACAAATCAAACAGCCAAAGAAAATGACAGACACTATCGGAATGAACATAAATAGAAATAAAAGTTAAGCCACAGCTGAACTGTTCATAAAAATAAATATGTACACTGATAGAACCTCCCTACCCGGATTTATTCTTCCTAACCACATAGAACAGCTTTATAAAAGCTGGAAACGGCAGAAGGTCAACATGAAGGTCAGTTAATATAGAAGTCTGTCACAAAAAGATCTTTAAAAAAGGAATAAACTTTCATTTCCTGAAGATTAGAAAATCAGAAAAGCCTCAAATATGAAACGAATATTAAATTAGCAAACGAATGTTTGATTCCAGAGACACCTGAAGGAAGACCGTTAGCATCTATGTGCTCCTGCTCTACGCTTACTATCAACACGTCAGTTAAAAAGGGAAAAATTATGCTAACTGTGGAGGACTTCCCCCGGCGGAGGACGTCCGTCCCCCGGCGGAGGACGTCCGTCCCCCGGCGGAGGACGTCCGACAGGGACAGGGGAAAAAACAATCAAATGAACCAAAGGTGTTTGCGCTAATTTAGGACATTAGCTAAGCTAACAGTCTCCTTCATTTCTTTTTTTAAGGCTGCAGGGTTTTCTGCCCCCCCCCCCAATGATAAGGTATGGATGTGGACTGAACCCTGACTGAGCTCCTAAACCTGCATCCAGATGAAGAACAATCATTTCATCCTCTTCCTCTCATCGTAAAACTGAAAAGGTTGATGCTGCAGAATATCAGTGTCGCTGCAGCTAACAAGCTCCGCCTCCAGAATTCTGTCCATTTCCTGTCTGTAAAGAGTGTCTCTGCAGCTAACAAGCTCCGCCTCCAGAATTCTGTCCATTTCCTGTCTGTTAAGAGTGTCGCTGCAGCTAACGAGCTCCGCCTTCAGAATTCTGTCCATTTCCTGTCTGTAAAGAGTGTCTCTGCAGCTAACGAGCTCCGCCTCCAGAATTCTGTCCATTTCCTGTCTGTAAAGAGTGTCTCTGCAGCTAACGAGCTCCGCCTCCAGAATTCTGTCCATTTCCTGTCTGTAAAGAGTGTCTCTGCAGCTAACGAGCTCCGCCTCCAGAATTCTGTCCATTTCCTGTCTGTAAAGAGTGTCTCTGCAGCTAACGAGCTCCGCCTCCAGAATTCTGTCCATTTCCTGTCTGTAGAACATTCAGAGCTGCAGCTGTTAGCAGTTTATCTTGCTGGTAGATGAAGGCGGGTCGATCAAACCAGCTGCATTCAGAGGAGGTGGGTGGTCGACCGGGTGAAGGTGTGGTACCTCTTCTCAAACATGGAGGGCAGATTGACCATGGAGGGGGAGTGGCGAGCCTGCAGACAGAGTTTGGACATTTTCAGCGTGTAGAAAGTGGAAAAATCTAAAACCCTGTTTAGTCAAAGCTTATGAGGAGAATAGGAGGAGCATGCTGCTGCTCAGGGCCTCTGCCAGGGAGGGAGTTCATTCATTCATCCAACATTCACTAAAAGATCAATTATCTGGTGTTTCTAGAAAAGATCAAAATGAATCGATGAGACTTTTCTCTAAGTTCACCAAGAAAAACTAGATAGAAGGTCAGAAAAGAAGATGGAGGACGTTCAGCAGCAGCAGCAGCATCCTGGGACTGAGGCTCAACCTGGAAACCTTTACTGGAATTAATTATCACAAGAGTTTATTCTTGGTTGCTTTCTGGGAGAAATACATTTCAACTATAACTAGTTCTTTTTTATTCTGAGGTAAAATGATCAATCCTGGATAAAACCCCTTTTATCCATCAGTAAAGTTTGAAAACCATCAGTGGAGAAGAAAGAATCCAACATTTTATTCAGAAGTTCTGCTCTGATCATCAAAAAGACAGAAAGCAAACATTCGTCTCCATGGTTACCGTCATAAATAGGGTTCTACTAAAACCTCAGTGATGATGAACACCGCCACCAGATGGAATCATGGGAAAACATTCACCCAAATCAACCCTGAAAATCTGCCTCTGCCACGTGTCTCTCACGTCCTCAGAGCATCCACTGAAGATGGATGGGGCGCAGGCGGGGGCGGCGAGGCCGTGGCGTGGCCGCAGCAGCCAGGCGGCAGTAAGTCCGCGGCGGCAAGGCCGCTGCTCTGAGGCGGCAGTAAGCCCGCCGCGGCGACATCGTGGCGAGGCCGGGATTCTAAGGAGTTGATTTGGGTGTGAAGCGTCACCAGTGCTGGTTTATTTCCAGTAAAAAGTGGGTGTGGTTTAGTCAGAAGGTCACCCTCAGACAGCAGGGAAGCTTTGCTCACATGCTCTGAACTCTGCGGCGCTTTAGATCAGAGTCTCTCGGTGAGGACTGGCGGGGACGGCGCTGCACGGCTCCGTCTGCGGATCTCTGACCCAATCCGTAAAGCTCCTGGTTTTCATGTGGACGGTTTGAGGCGCCGCAGCTCCGGGAGGCAGCGGTCTACAGACATCCTGGATATCGCTAAGCTGAGGGGAGCTGGCAGCTGCTGATAGAGCGGGTTTCTGTGGAGGGGGGGGGATTATTGAGCTGGACTTGTTCTCTTTGACGTTAACTGGATCAGGGCCTTTGGAGGACTCAGAGAACATGTGGGAGGACGGCCTTTTGGCCGGGGTACAGGGGGTTCGGATGCACACAGGGATTCTGGCTTTGAGGGGGGGGTGATCCAGAGAGTTGGAGCGATGAACCACCGTACTGTTTCTGGTGGATTCAGTCAGACTGAATGTGGATGCAGAACGAGGCATCTGATGACCCCCCCAGCAGGAAGATAGGGGGAGAAAAACACAGATTAGTCAAAGCAGAGATCAAACATCTGTCCTCAAAGCGGTTAAACGTCCTTCAGCCTAAATAGTATAGCAGCTGATTAACAGATGTGTTCACCATAAGGGTCCGCACTGCAGAACCATCCCACCTGCAGGATAGAACCACACCCTCCAGATCAACATCCAACATTAGATAATTAAAGCTGCCGTAGATCTGCGCTCTGATGACGCCTCGTCAGAACATCAAGGAAAAAAAACCTGCCTGATGGTGAGAAATACGCCATTTATCGGAAAAGTTCGCTGATATTCAGAATCTAAACTCCTGAAAGTTCTTTAAATCTGAAATGATTCCATCCTGTTCAATAAATGATCAGTGTTTTTAATTCAGAGTAATTTTCATGTGAATGTGCTTTACTGGAGGCATCCATGTTTGTCAAAGAACACTACTGCCACCTACTGGTTAGTGACATTGTCACGGTGCGGTATCGGCTGTTGATCAAGTCCCAGTGCTGTATCTGGTGTTTGTCACAACGCGCTATTATCCAAGTCATCTTGAAAACATTCTTCTTCCAAATGTTGGCTACATATTACGGGTTTTTTCTCTGGCCAGAAGTTCGATGGCAAATCCTCCCTCTTCAAGTTGGCGATCCAACGACCAACCCGTCCGTGGAGGATCAGGAATCAGAAAGGTGGAATAACTCTTTTTTTCACTTTTACCCGATGTATTCCAGCATCCAGCTGCCATGCACGTGGGCATTGTCAGTTTCACTATAGCTCTGGTGAATTTCAATGGTGAAGTCCTCTGGAAATCTTCAATAATTGTTGTTGATTGCAGATGTGTCTAGTAGTTCCCATTGATTTAGCTTGGAAAGCGGGGAGAATGGCGCTAGGCTTACCGCACCGTGACGTCACTGCTGGAAGATGGCAGGGGGGAGGGGCTACTAGATTTGGGCAAAGATGGCCGCTCCCAGACTCAGTGATCGTGAGTTATCGATATTTTGGCAGAGTTTGATCGACTAACAGAGGAATAAACTCACGTTTTAGTGCAAACTGTTTCCATCAGCCACGCCCACTTCACCTTTAAAGCCACACATGAAGTTAAAGCATCCGAGATATCTGTGGAAATATCTGCTACTGAAGGAGGAAATCATTTGGATCCAGATCTTTTCAGCAGAAGCTGAATGTTCCTGAAAGTTACTGAATGTTTCTGAACTTCTGAGTCATTTGGTGAAATAAAGGCTTCGCTGCACATCCTGGAAACCTGGAATGCATCCAGGATTTTACATTTCTTTCTATATTTTATGATCAGACATTTAAAGGGGGAATATGAGCCGCTATGGTGGAGGATTGTGGCTTCATTTACCGATGAACTTGAGCTCCTTCATTTAGAGGTTTGGGAAATTAGTTCATTTTTGTAAAATTGAACTATGAACATTTTATCTGACTGAACTGAACTCTGAGCTGGTTCTTTTTAATGAACTGGAACTACATTGCATAAGCTAGTTTTCTCCTGCATCTATCAAACCTGCAGACACATTTAAATACCTGCTCAGCTGTAGATTCAGATTAAACCAACATTCATGCTGGATTCAAAGTTCTTATTGTAAATCCAGGCTTAGTTTAGTCCCAGACGAACTAAATGTTACTCCTGAATCCAGACATTTTGAATCTGAATCCCGGATGAAAACGAAACGTGTTTAAACTTGAAAACAAAGTCCAGTGGATCGATTTGAACTTTTTTGGCTTGACTCTGACTCTGGATGACTGAGGGTTTTATTCACTAGCAAAAGGAGCAAAAACCCAAAGCAGAAGGAAACATCTTTTTAATGAATTCTTTATTCTGTCTCACTGTGGGCACTTTGAACACCCAGTTTTCCTAAATCTGTGCAGCATTGTTCTCTCTGTAATTACCTTCATTTGATAGAAGATTCTGTTCAAACGGGGCGGAACGGTTCACTAAATCCACGGTTCGGTTCACGGTTTGGTGGTCTCGGTTTTCGGTTCGGTATATGTTGATTGTTAGCCTGACATGTTGGTCGTGTTGCTGTTAGCATAAACAAAACGTGTTGCACAATGCTTGCACACTGTTGCACTTTTATCCACAACTTTCTTTCCGCCGTCATCGTAGGTCACTCTAAATGCAAAGTGGTCCCATACAGCAGACCTATAAAGTGCTGCTGGCGCGTCTTCCAACTCCTGTTCTTTCCCACTCGCCATACCCACACAATTCTCCACAACAACTGATTTTTTTCTGCTACACCCGGCTACGCTGCTTCGCTTCTTCTTCTTGTTTACTACTGGTGGTTGGCTTTGGTCGCAGTACCGCCACCTTCTGCTCTGGAGTGTAAACGCTTCACCAATGAGAAAAAGGAGCAGCGCATGAACCGAACGAAACACACGCGAACCGAACGGAGACAGTCGAACCGAACGGTTCGGACAGTTTTCAGAAACCGTTCCATCCCGAGTTCCAACTTTAGGATTTTTGTTTCCCATCAATGTTATCACTTCCAACAGAACAAGGCGCCTTCAGCATCAGGATTCTATCAGATGGAATCTTTGGGTTCTTTAGGGATCATTAGTTTATCTGTTAATCTCAACCATTAAAAGAAGAACAACCATCTGAAAAAGGATGACGCCTTCACGCTCTGCCCTGATTGGTCCAAGCTTTTAAACGCGTTCACTTTCAGAATGAAAACTGAAGAGTCTGAGGGTCGGTTCGGGTCCTTTCTGCAGAGCTTTCTGTGAGTTGAGGTGAAAAATGGCAGAAAAATAACGAGAAAGATAAAAAAATAACAGCAGCAAAGGACATCAGCAGGCTGAGAATCAAATATTATGTAATAAACTTTTCCTCAATCTGATTTTAAAACCATTTTAGTCTCACAAGATTATAATCCCCACTCATCTATACTAGCAGGAGTGAAAAACTAGGCCAGGTTTTATTTTGTAATCAGGTCCGTTAGGTTCTAAAAACAAACACGTCCGTCTGACGAGGATCTAATGAGAGGATTCTACGACTCAGTGACAGGATAGCAGATTACTGGTTTTTGCTTTGAGCGAGATGCCGTCCAGTTTATTTTTATTTCGTTATATTGACAGTACATGAAGAACTACTGAAATTATTTTCAGATTACACATAAATAGATTAATTCCTCAGGGGAAGCAATAACTCCGGGGTTAGGATTAGGATTCACTCAATGATAACAACCTGCTGAGCCGATTGGCCCAATCTGAAGCCGTTTTATGGGACTGATGACTTCTAATAACAATTATTAGGATGATTACGTCTGAAACGGCTGCAGACAGATGCTCAGTGTTTACTGTGAGGAGGAACCCATGAGACGATGAACAGGTTCTTTATATTAGAACAATGTTTTTATTCTTCACCTGCTGACAGATCATTTCACCTAAATAGATCCATTGACCATTTAAGAAATAATGCGTTATTATTATTACAGTCCCAATATGGCAAGCCGTATTGATATGTACTAGTTTGACTGAATCTGTATTCCTCTTATCTGAAATAAACATTTTTTCTTTGTCATAATGACCGTTTCAAACCAAATATTCTCCACATCTAGAACAAACATTCTAGAAAATAATTCCAGATCTCCATATTCCTAATATTACGATATTAGGAATATGATAAATGTCAGAACCGCCACTTAAAATGTGTAACAATTTCTAGTTATATAAAACTTAATTCTTATAGGTATGATTGAGTTTTTTTACTTTTAAAATTCAGTTTCTGCTGCAAAAATGTAATTTAGAAAATCTATTATTACAGTTGAGTCTAGGACTGTGATTCTGATCAGGAAGAATCTTATTTAAATGATCTACAATGGAACAACAGAGAGGAGAGTGCTTTGAATAAATGTAAAAACAGCTTGCCATAGACCACTTCATATAAACCTACATGTTAACTGGAGCGACAATCTTCTCCATCTTCCTGCATCTTTATTTTTTCACATCTTCATTCAAATCTCCATTCCAGTGGGGTGAAACAGGAAGTTCCTGTTGTCATGGTGACTGAGTGGACCTACCAGTGATTGAACTCATCTACGGTAGATTTTATGAAACTGAAAACCAACTCAGACTAGATTTATTCAGAGTTTGAGTCCCAGATTGTTGAACCTGCTTTGGATCCCAGAACCTAAACCTACATGTAAATAAAAGCCATAAATACACCAAAAGTTCCTGATTCCCAAACTGACTCACCGCCAGCGTGGCGCTGCTGCAGGCCAGGCTCTCACAGCTCAGCCTGGGGGTTTTCTCATCGGGGGGCGTGTTGGCCAGGAACGCCCTCTGGATCACACGCTTGGGCGTCTTGGTGAAAGAAAAGGCCCTCGTTACCTAAAAAGGAAAACAAAAAGGTCTGATGATTGGCTGAAGACGGTGAAGTTTTCTTTATAAGGCGAATCTCTTATGGAGTTAATATGAACAGCAAACAATATTTCAGTTTGTTTATTGATGCTAAAGCGACGGCTGAGGAACGCCATCAGGTCTCCGCCGCCTTCGCCTCCATCTACAGCCTGGTTCCTGTCAGTGAGCCCCACAGCAGCGGTGGCTTCCATGCAGCTCACCACCTTCAGAGTGACTGAATGACTGAACGTAAAGCGCTTCGCTCATTTCTCCTGACGTTAGAAAGCTCTACATCAGTGCAGCCCGTTTCAATGCTGCAGTAAACTGATGTTATTGAGTATTTTATAGAAAGTGCCTTCATTCAACTCAGGCGAGTTATTCTGAAAGGTTGGATGAATTTATCGACCGAATGATGAAGACGCTGTTTGAAACGGAACCATTGTTCCCCTGCAGCAGCTTCTCACGCTGGAGACGGAAGCAGAGAACCGATCCAGACCACCGGCTGGCTGGTTTTTAACCCTTTAACTGTTGACAGGCTGATCCGTCTGATTTAAACACAATAAAACATCAAACAATGAAAAAGCAAAGCTGGGAACTTTCCATAAAAACCAGTTTCCAGGCTGCTCCATTTCACTCATTCAGATAAATTCATAAATCAATAACGATATATTTTTGTATTTCTATAAATTAGACATAGATTAACTTTATTGTTGTAACTGTTATTCAGTTTATCCAGCTTTCAGACAGTGAATCAGCAGCTGAGCATTTCCATTTATAAAGTGCAGCAGTGATCAGATGCAAACAGAGAAACGGTGCAAAAAGCATCGATGTGGAAGATTCACAGAAATAAACACATAGATAGGGTCCAGAAACATTAAAGATTCACCATGTAGTGTAAGAATGTTAGTGTAAAATCTACATCTTTATATCTAAATCTGTATCTACACATCTATCTCTATACATCGTTGTTTACCTATAGATAGATATCTATCTCTATATCTATAGATATCCAAAAATGTGATTCTTTGATTAAAGGACTGAAATTGCTCAGATTCTATTTCTTCTAAATCTGGTCCGTTTATCGTAATAAAGGCTGAAACGTCGTTTCCTTCAAGGTTTCAGGGAGAAAAACGCAGGAAATGATTCCCTGCTCTATAAAAGGAGGCGGGGCCTTAAGAGGAAACTCTGAATAAACGCCATGTGGTCCAAATCATCTTTGTATTCGTTGTCTCATCAGTTTGCCGTTTCTAACAGTGAACTTTGACCTTTAAGAACTTTTCAAACATTTCCTGGACCAAAGTAACGCTGCTGTGTTACTGTCAGGCTTTGATTCCAAATAAAATGATAAAGATCTAATTTAAACCTTAAGTATTATTTTATTGTTAGAAACTAAATCCCATTGAAATGTTTCCCCCTGATGGTTGAAAGGCCGTCTGGCAGCTGCTGACCTGCAGCTGCAGGGAACGTTACCTTTTTTGAAGTCTTCTTAATGGCTCTGGAGGCTTTGCTCAGAGTGCTGCCCATGTCCTTGGTGCTGACCTGCAGTTTGTCTGGTTCTATGCAATGAATAAGATCCTCCTGGAAACAGGAGAAACAAACAACTTTACTGTGGATCCGGGTGGAGCCTGAGGAAGTGATGGGTGCAGACGGACGCCGCAGAGGAAGTGATGGGTGCAGACGGACGCCGCAGAGGAAGTGATGGGTGCAGACGGACGCCGCAGAGGAAGTGATGGGTGCAGACGGACGCCGCAGAGGAAGTGATGGGTGCAGACGGACGCCGCAGAGGAAGTGATGGGTGCAGACGGACGCCGCAGAGGAAGTGATGGGTGCAGACGGACGCCGCAGAGGAAGTGATGGGTGCAGACGGACGCCGCAGAGGAAGTGATGGGTGCAGACGGACGCCGCAGAGGAAGTGATGGGTGCAGACGGACGCCGCAGAGGAAGTGGCCGCAGAGGAAGTGATGGGTGCAGACGGACGCCGCAGAGGAAGTGATGGGTGCAGACGGACGCCGCAGAGGAAGTGATGGGTGCAGACGGACGCCGCAGAGGAAGTGATGGGTGCAGACGGACGCCGCGGCTACAGCAGGAGGAGGCAGAACTCATAGATGGAGGTAAATCTGGAGAAGCTCCGTCTGGTTGGTATTCAGACAGCAACACTGACCCAGTGGGAAAACGCATTAGCAATGCAGCTGTGGAGGGACAGGATCAATGGAGGGCAACAGCGCCCCCTGCTGCAGGCTGTGGCTCAGTGTTGGTGACTGCTACATTTCTGCAGCTTAGATGGTTTATAGCAGAAAGATCAGAGCATATGGGCTAAGGCTCCGCCATCAGTTAGCATCCCTGCTAGCTGCTAGCAGGACATCCCTGTCATCCTTCAGGTCTACATCCTGTTCCAGTCTCCATTAGAGAGGAAGCAGCTTTTCGCAGCTGTGAATGAAAACAGCCTCTAAAGCTTTTCAAAATAAAATGGCCCAAAGTTTGATAACGCTGCAAACTGCTCGTCTGCTTCTGCTGAATATCGTTTACAGGCTTCATCTGCAGCTAAGATAACAGCATCAAAAAATAAACCTCCTTTAGTCTGCAATTAGAAATAAAGAACTTTTTATTATCACTTTGCTTTTATTTATAGTTTGATCTATAAAACCGGGCAGAATTTCCCAACGTTTGCTTTGTCTCAGTGATTGTGTGAGTGGAAGAGTGCGTTATGGTGACATCTCACCGAATCGGCTCTGCAGATGGTGTTGGCAACGTGACGACACAGAAGACGCAGCCAGTCGCTTTTAACCGTGGCCTCTCCGGCCAGCTGGAAGCTGAACAACAAGTTCTCCTGTTCGGTGGGGGGGCGCACCACCAAGGCGAAGGCATTGACACACTCTGAGGAAGAGGAGGGGAGACCAATGACGCTGGGCTACATGGGAAACAGAACCGTGAGTTCAGAAACTAAAGCACATAAAACAATAATTACAACTGATTAGCAAATCTCATTAGCGTCCTTTAGCTAACGCCGGCACACTGCCACTCTGTGGTGGGGATTAATATTTACTGTTCCAGATAAAACATCCCAATGATTCAAACATTCCTGACTCAATAGTTTGGTCACATTAACAAAGTTCTGTTTCCAGAAATTTGGAAAACAGTTAAGAAAATGGAACTGACCTCCCTAGAGCCATTCATCCTACCTGACTTTATAGCCAAACTTCCTCTACCTTCTAGAAACCGTGCAGAGGTCGGTCCCAGGACGGTAACCAAGGTAACCGTTGAGTGTAAGTGACAGGCAAACTGAACCGGACTGCGCCAGACCCAACCGGACCGTGCTAACATGGTGCTAGCTCATCAGTACGGCGCGGCGCGGCTCAGTTCTGCCTCCATTCTCTGATATCAAAGAGAACATGAGCAGATCGCCTTCCAGTCAGCCTCCGTAATCATTGATAAAATCCTAACTTTCTACCGCGCCGCGATTTCCAGGGAGGATTCTGCTCAGAAGCGTGATGAACCTAAACATCTGTCAGCGTCTGGAAGCTCTGATTAGTCGATGGTTTGTCACACCTTGATTTATCCATCGTCTGCCGACGTCCCAGAATCTCCTAAAACGCTGAATTTTCTATAGATTTTCTCTATTCTGGGCGTAAACAGAGGATTCATAACGAGTCCAGAACTTCTGTCCAATGACAGCCTAACTTCTACATAACGCACGGCAGCGTGACGCCCAGGAAGTGATGCACAGTGACCTGAGGGGGGCAGCGATGCGCCCGGAGGCCCCCGGCCTGCAGGAAAAGATCTTTGATATTATTAACCTAGCTGCTGTTTACCGCCTGCCAAAACAAAAGATTAAAGAAAAAGAAAGAAAGGTTTTTGGTGGCAGCAGATTGAGCGTCATGTCTGCTAGGAAGTGTGTTGGTGGTGGGCGTGAACGCAGGGAGGATCCATCACCCACCTTCTGGCTCACCCTATGATGGGGATGAAGTCTGGAGGAGAACTGACGGTTTCCTCCTGTGAACCCCCTTTATACCAAAACGCTGCCAATACGCCATTATACAGTAGCTGGAAGGTAGAAACACGTTCAGCGCTCGTCTGGAACACGGCAGATACGCTGATATGTTGGAGAGAAGTTCTGGATAAGTTACTCAGAGGTTTAGGATCAGCTAGACGCCACGACTGAGGAGGAACTGACACTGAACGGATGTCGACCATCAGATAACTGACGGCCAACGGATGGCCCACGGATGGCAGACGCTGACATGTGCCAGCGTACGCCAACAATCTATGGTACTACAGCTCTATAGAGGGCAACAAGCAAACCAAGATGGCGGTAACATTCAGGGAGTTAGAGAGTCAGGAGAAGAAGGCAGCCTTTGGTGAATTTCTTTTGGGAAGTAGATACGATAAACCATCGTCTAATCAGGGCTTCCAGATGCAGGAAACAACGACAGACGGTGAGGTTCATCACACTGCTGCGCACAATCATGTAAGGAGTGATGTCATCGTAAGGAGATGATACGGTCTGCTCATGCGCTCGCCCGCAGTGAGTCCAGATGCTTCTGCTGCTCCTGTGTTCGATGCCAGAGAGCAGCTTTGCTATATTAGCTGTGATCAGCGGGTAGAAAGTAGTTAGAATCTCTGTTGAAGTGAGAAAGTCCTCCTGAAAACATGGTCTGTGCAGTCAGTTCATCCAGATTACCATCCTGCCTTCAAAGATTATTTCTCTGTGGGAGCCGCTCAGACCCCCACATACCGGCGCTGCGCTGTCACTGGGAATCCCCAGCAGCAGCTGCCTCAGGCCCGCTCGCCTCTCCAGGGTTTTCCCCTCCTGTTGGTGGCGGCTGGAAGTAGATGTTAGCGTTTTTCAGGTCTGTGCTACAAACTGCAGGCAGCAGGATAATAAAAGCCAACATATTCTGCCGGCAGGTTTCTACATTTGAAGTTAATTTAGGCGTTAATAAACTGTTTCAGAGGAGTGATCATAGCGCTCTGCATCAGCAGGGCTGCGTCTGACTCCCTGCCAGCTCCCAGATCAGCTTCTCTCATTGGTTGATGTCCAGCAGCTAAAGGTCAATGTTTCCAACTCCAGCAGCTGCTGCTTGTGCAGCGTCACGTCTCTCAGAGGCTCAGATGCTCATGAGGCACTGCTCCTGCTGCTCTAGGTGCGCTGCTTTAGATGCGCTGCTCTAGGTGCGCTGCTCTAGATGCGCTGCTCTAGATGCTGTGGGAACTTCTGAAGTCTTTGCATGTAAACCAGCAGCTCCTGCTGTTGAGCAGCGTGCGTCTGAACGCAGCATAAGATCCTAAATGAATCATTTAGTAAAGGACAGCTGCAGATGGACGGACACAGTAGAGCTACGTTAGCAACCAAAGGACGCGTTTTCATCTCTTCAAAAACAGAAATAAAACCTGACAGAATGTTCTGCTTCTGGTTCCATCTGGATTCATACATCTAGTCCATAGAAATACCTTCTTTGCCCTTACTGTGGCAAAGAAGGCTCTGAGGGAAACGTTGGATTTGTTTCATGGTATTCAGATCGGCTCTTTACATTTCTGCTGGAACGTTATTAAAAGTGTTCCCTGCCTATATGAGCGTGTTTATAGGATAGATGGGTGCTTGATGTGGTTACCCTCCGTGTCCTGCAGGTCCAGCACTCTGCGAATCTGCGACAGCGGCATCAGAGCTATGTGCTTCAGAGGGGGGGGCGGCCTCGTCTGACCCAGCGGACCTTTCATCACCTTGTGACGTTTCCTCGCAATCTGCAGAGAAGCAGTTTGACAAAAACTGCAATGAGACGAACACAGGAGACTGTGTGTGATTGCAGGCAGGTTTACGCCTTCATGGAGGTAAACTATGAACTCATTACTGTCCCATTAATTAGGAGGTTAGAGCAAAGACAGGGAGGACATTAGACGCTGAGATTAAATCAAGGGATGCTGGAGATGGAGGAGAGAGCAGAGACCACCCACTGTGGAACCAGAGAGTCCACAGGCAGGCCTGGCAGGATGAAGGATGCAGCTGATTTGGAGGCGTCACCGACACCCCCCAATCAGCACAGCCTCTCCACTCGTCTCTTTCACGCCTTGCCCCGTCCTTCACCTGATTAACACTGATAGAGCGGAAACAGGAGGAAACTAGAACAGCATCATAGAAATACTGAGTCAAACACATTCTGCATGCAGGCAGCTACAGACCAGCAGCAGGTTTGGGTTCTTTCATGGTTTCTAACCAAGAAGGTCTGGTTGAGTCGTCCTGAGATGCCATGATGTGAACTGGAGCTCTAGAAATCAGCTGAATAGAAGAGAATCTGCTTCTAGGAGAGTTATCAGTAGGCTCTGTTAAACCCTTTAACATAGAAAGTACTGCTGGCTCGGTGCCGTGGATCGCTTTCTGCCCAGCAGGCCGTTAAAGATGGAAGTTCAGCTAAAGAACGGGCTGGTCTGCTTCAGTCTGACCTCCTGTCTGCATCATCTGGTCTCTGTCCATCCGTCTCATGACCAAATTAGACATTCTCTTAATTATTCTATTATTTTAATCCTTTGGTATTTGCACTTGGAGCAGAAGTGTGTGATTTTCACCTCTAGGCAGTCGTTAAACAGGAAGAGGGTGACATTTTCCCCGCGGTCGCAGGGCTCGTCGCCCAGGGCGATGGTTTCCACCCGGAGCACCAGGGTTCGATGGGAGGACAGCAGGTTGGCCTGAGAGGAGGAGGATAGGAAGCAGGTGAGCTAGCATCCAGCAAACCGCTGCCAATCAAGGAAGCAACTGGAAGAAAACTAGAAAACTGATGTAGAAAAGGACTCAGAGTGTCTGAATATGAAGCGATAAACTTACAGGACATCCATCAACTTCATAGACCACATCAAAGATCTGCTTCTGGCCTTCAGTCTTCCTCTTGTCCTCGTTGATGTGACTGCAGACGAGTCAAGGGCACAGAAACGTCACTTCTTAGGATCAGACGATAAACAAGAACGCTGCATTCTGATAGGCTACTGGAACTGGACAGTAGATCCAGCTTTATTAGGTTACATTCAGGCGGAAACAGTCAAAGGACCATTTAATCAACTAAAAGCAACTGTGGGATGTGGTGTTGGCTGAGAAATATTCAGTTAAAATAACGTTGGAGCAGCCTGCTGACCTGCAGGGCTCAGCAATGAACAGATGGTGTGTTGATGGGTTGATCTGAGGAGGATCAGACCTGCAACGCTCTTTGGTTGATCCCATATAGAGAATAACCTGATGGATCATAGTTCTGCTGATTGATGGAAAACAACACGTCACACCCACCCACCCACACCCACTCACTCAAACTTGAAGGGTTGTTGAACATAAACGGATCAGCTGAGGTAGATTTGTTTAATGAGGGAGGGCGGGGCCTAAGGAGACCAACACTTTATATTAAGGTTAGCTTAATTATTAGGCAGCTTCTTTTTCTCAGCCAAAATCAGAGATTTAAGTTACTGAAAAGTCCAGATTGTTCAGAGGGCTGCAGCAAATCTGGAATTGCTGAGATATCGGGGTGTGATCAGAGAACCATCAAATGTTCTGACGCCAACAGGGACGCAAGAAACAAAGATGCAAATAAACTGAGAAATATTTAAAGATCAAACATGAAGCTACCAGGAATCTCTCCCCTTCAAGTGCTGCCATATTCCAGACCTGCTGCCTACCTGGAGCGCCCAGAGGAACCAGACCATCAGAAACTGGCCAAGGTGAGGGAAGCTGAAACCCGACCGCCACTGAACAACAAACATTAGCTGAAAGGTCCAGACTGGGGTGAGCTGGTCGGACCTTCTCAGCTAGAAAATGGACTCAAAGTCAACCCTGCAAACCGACTTCCAGTTTTGAGGAGACACTTTCTTCAAGCAATGGTGAAGGAAAAGTCCATGTTTCTGCAGGACCATCCTCAGTCACAGTCCTCCACCATGGGGCCAGCAGCCAACGATGAAACGATGAGGGGCCCCTTCCTCTCCAGACCTTAACCCCACTGAGAACTCGTGATCCCAGCTTAAACACCAGATGGACGGGAAAGGAAAGCGTCCACGTCTCTGAACCGTGTCTGGGAGGCTGCGATGGATGCTGCACGAAACGCTGATGGTCATCAGAAGCGGACCGAAGGTCTTCAACCGTTAATGAATATACGGGTCACCCAGGTCTTATAGATTTGTTCTGGGAGGTTAAAAACATTTCGGTTTCTGTCTTCACAACTACACCTTGCATAATAACTGTGCACACAGTGAATAAATCTACAAACAATAAGTATTGAACAGGCCACCTTTGACCTTAACCCATTTAGGCCGGGAAAGCATTACCGCATTTCTACCATTCAAGCCGGGGGTGCTGTTGCGTCATTCTACCATTGACGCCGGGAGAGCATATAAGTCAAGCAAGAAGAAAGAAGTTTTTTTCAAGCAAACATGGAGGAGTTTGACAGAGAAGAGTTGTCGGAAGGCAGTGATTTTGAGGAGTGTGTCGGCTTTGATGACGGTATAGATGAAATGATGACTTTGAACGCGCTGAACCAATCGAACTACCACCGCAATGCACGGAGTGTTTTCAACCGCACACCTGGAGTGAAAGTTGATTTGCCTGCAGACGCCACACCGCTGCAGGCATTTGAGCATATTTTTAATGAAGAACTTTGGATGCATCTAGTTACCGAGACGAATAGGTACAGTGACCAAACAAACCAAACTCCAACAAGAGCAAAGATGGCAAAGTGGTCACCCGTGACTGTGACGGAGATGAAGACATTTATTGGGCTGTGTATGTAAACCTCTCTTCAGGACGCAGTTCCCCCAAAATATGTCCCGGGACAGATTTGTGGCCATCTGGAGGTAGGTTGTATGCAATTTATAACACAGACATATGCATTATTATGCATAATAATACTGTTAATAAGTAATCATTAGATAGTTATTTATGTAATGTTTGTTCTTTATTTTGAAAACGTTTTATATTGCACATTCTCAATGAAGACATGATCACATATGGAAAAAATAAAAGGTTGAATTTTTTTTTTTTTTGATTACTGCTTTTCACATTTTTTTTTTTGGAAGAATTTCAAAGATAAAATATATTTTGAGTTCTATCTGCTACAGAAGCTGAGATATCAATAATTAAGGCGTTGACACAGTTGCTGAATTTACAGAAAAACTTCAGGTTTTAGGGGTATTTTTTAAAATCGGCCATAGGTTTTTAAGGTGTTTTTTCCAGGCGTTTTAGGCCTAAATGGGTTAATAAATCCATTTCTAGAGGTGCTTTTCACATTTTCACCAGTTGGTAACATTCCTCCCAGAAATCAAACCATAGATATGCAGAAATGAAGTTATGTGTACTAATGTGGAATGGCTCAGGGAAAAAGGATGTATAAATGTTCTGGATAGCAGATGGAATCTAACATTTTGATTAAAATAGTCATAAAATGAAGAAATAGCAGTAAAAATAAAAAGGTAAATATGAACTCACGTCATCACTTCCTTCAGAGACTCTATGGCTCTTTCCAGGGTTATCTTGTCTGGGTTATCATCTGACGTGTGTTTCTTTATGTCTACAACATAAGGATGAAAGGGTAGGTTTGGTGAGGGGGCGGGGCCACGCGTGGATGGGGAACGAACGTGACAGCGACAAAAGCAAGTTGAAGATAAATAAAGAGATAAAAGATGGGAGCCAATCAGCAGGAGATAAACAGGACAGAGAAACCCAAACAATGAGCAGTAAGCGGTGAACATTTGGTCCGTATCACCGTATGGATGTTACCGTTAAGGAGGAGCGCCACACTGGGCAGCCTCTGCACTGGTCTGATGAGCAGCTCTGCCAGCGTCTGTCTGCCGCACTCCGGCTTGGCCTGGTTGATCTGTTGGTTAAAGAAGAGGATGAGATGTTTCTACACACCTGAAAACATCTTCAATCAGGAACACAGACTACAGGTCAGTCGACAGCGGCAAACAGAGGGATAGTGGGCGGGGCCAGATGGACGGCAGGCCGATACAGAGTCCACCTGTATGGAAATGCTTTGACTAAAAACATAAGGATGAACGATGATGGCTGATGGATCAATCATCAGATGAGAAATAGATGGAGGAAAAGCTGATAGACGAGAGGCTGACAGGAGCCGGAAAATTTATCTCTTCATTCACTTTAATTCTGATTTCCTTGGCCAGGATTAGATTCAGAATCCATTTCCAGGTGCAGAGTTGTCCATCTGCATAGAGGTGAGCATGCTGGCAGCATAATGAGTGATAATCCCACAGTCAGCTCCCAGTCTTTAGCCTTAGAGTGAGCCGTGGCACCACATTAATGGCTATGCAGCTTTCAGCTTCTTCTTTACTTTATTTCTCTTTGCCTGTCCTTCCGTCTGCTGAACCGTCCTGCATTACAATGGCTGATCACCTTCACAAAGAAACCAAATAACTTTAAATTAGCCAAAGCATTGTGATGTGAAACAGGCTGCAGAGGTTCAGCCTGCCAGTCCTCCACTTCCTGTCACAGCTATTTAAATTATACATCCAAAGCAGCAGAAGGCTAAACGTTCTGAGAATGAAACTTCCGTCCCTCATTACCATTAGAGCTGAGAAATTGGCTTCTTCTAAAAGACACTGAATGCAAACCTGCTGCTTTTTCAGACCAACCTCCTGCCAGAAAGAGACAGCTTCTCATTTGGTGGACCGAACGCAGCGAGACATGATGTTCTAACGTCAAACTAAACAGCCTCACCTTCAGGAAGGCGTGGAAGCGGGGCTTCTGTTTTTCACATCGAACAATGGTCTCTTTGCTCATCTCAAAGAAATTGACAAAAGGGGGATAGGCCTTCACCAACTCCTTTGACTGTGGACAGAGAAAATAAACCATAACATGCACACATGAAACAGCAGGATCTAAATATTTCTTTAAAGGTGAATATTTTTCAAAATTCCTGTGTGTGAGGTTCACTAATAAGGCGGCGCCCTATACGGGAGAAGGGGCGGCAGCCTAACATTTATGTCTGATAACCTGTCAACACGTTAGCACTGCAGCTAACATTTATGTCTGATAACCTGTCAACACGTTAGCACTGCAGCTAACATTTATGTCTGATAACCTGTCAACACGTTAGCACTGCAGCTAACATTTATGTCTGATAACCTGTCAACACGTTAGCACTGCAGCTAACATTTATGTCTGATAACCTGTCAACACGTTAGCACTGCAGCTAACATTTATGTCTGATAACCTGTCAACACGTTAGCACTGCAGCTAACATTTATGTCTGATAACCTGTCAACATGTTAGCACTGCAGCTAACATTTATGTCTGATAACCTGTCAACACGTTAGCACTGCAGCTAACATTTATGTCTGATAACCTGTCAACATGTTAGCACTGCAGCTAACATTTATATCTGATAACCTGTCAACATGTTAGCACTGCAGCTAACATTTATGTCAGATAACCTGTCAACATGTTAGCACTGCAGCTAACATTTATATCTGATAACCTGTCAACATGTTAGCACTGCAGCTAACATTTATGTCAGATAACCTGTCAACATGTTAGCACTGCAGCTAACATTTATATCTGATAACCTGTCAACACGTTAGCACTGCAGCTAACATTTATATCTGATAACCTGTCAACATGTTAGCACTGCAGCTAACATTTATGTCCGATAACCTGTCAACACTTTAACACTGCAGCTAACATTTATATCTGATAACCTCTCAACACGTTAGCACTGCAGCTAACATTTATGTCTGATAACCTGTCAACACGTTAGCACTGCAGCTAACATTTATATCTGATAACCTGTCAACATGTTAGCACTGCAGCTAACATTTATGTCCGATAACCTGTCAACACTTTAACACTGCAGCTAACATTTATATCTGATAACCTCTCAACACGTTAGCACTGCAGCTAACATTTATGTCTGATAACCTGTCAACACGTTAGCACTGCAGCTAACATTTATGTCTGATAACCTGTCAACACGTTAGCACTGCAGCTAACATTTATGTCTGATAACCTGTCAACACGTTAGCACTGCAGCTAACATTTATGTCTGATAACCTGTCAACACGTTAGCACTGCAGCTAACATTTATGTCTGATAACCTGTCAACACGTTAGCACTGCAGCTAACATTTATGTCTGATAACCTGTCAACACGTTAGCACTGCAGCTAACATTTATGTCTGATAACCTGTCAACACGTTAGCACTGCAGCTAACATTTATGTCTGATAACCTGTCAACACGTTAGCACTGCAGCTAACATTTATGTCTGATAACCTGTCAACACGTTAGCACTGCAGCTAACATTTATGTCTGATAACCTGTCAACACGTTAGCACTGCAGCTAACATTTATGTCTGATAACCTGTCAACACGTTAGCACTGCAGCTAACATTTATGTCTGATAACCTGTCAACACGTTAGCACTGCAGCTAACATTTATATCTGATAACCTGTCAACATGTTAGCACTGCAGCTAACATTTATATCTGATAACCTGTCAACACTTTAGCACTGCAGCTAACATTTATATCTGATAACCTCTCAACACGTTAGCACTGCAGCTAACATTTATGTCTAATAACCTGTCAACACGTTAGCACCGCAGCTAACATTTATGTCTGATAACCTGTCAACACGTTAGCACTGCAGCTAACATTTATGTCCGATAACCTGTCAACACTTTAACACTGCAGCTAACATTTATATCTGATAACCTCTCAACACGTTAGCACTGCAGCTAACATTTATGTCTGATAACCTGTCAACACGTTAGCACTGCAGCTAACATTTATGTCTGATAACCTGTCAACACGTTAGCACTGCAGCTAACATTTATGTCTGATAACCTGTCAACACGTTAGCACTGCAGCTAACATTTATATCTGATAACCTGTCAACACGTTAGCACTGCAGCTAACATTTATGTCTGATAACCTGTCAACACGTTAGCACTGCAGCTAACATTTATCTCTGATAACCTGTCAACACGTTAGCACTGCAGCTAACATTTATGTCTGATAACCTGTCAACACGTTAGCACTGCAGCTAACATTTATGTCTGATAACCTGTCAACACGTTAGCACTGCAGCTAACATTTATGTCTGATAACCTGTCAACACGTTAGCACTGCAGCTAACATTTATGTCTCTACCCGATCCGTAAGGGAAGCATGATTCGTATCATCGGCTCATGTAGATGCGTAAGTAGATATTCATCCAGGTCGCTATAGATAATGTAATTATGTTACTGAAAGTACTCATTTTTATCTTTAAATCAATAAAGAAGAGAACTACATGTCTAAAAAAATTGTGATAGGACTTTTCTGAAACATTTTTGATGTTTTTTTCCCATTTTCTCCGTTAAACAGCTTCTCTGACATCATCATGGGACATGCTAAGAGCAGTCCGGGTAAAACAATATTTATCTGCATTTTACTTGTTTCTTTCTTTAGATTATGCACTATATACCAAACAGACAGGCAGACAGGGAGGACGACCTGTATGCACATATGGTTGGGCAGATGAGCTAACATGGTGAACTTACATATTTGAGAAAGATATCTCCAACACTTCGTCCTTCTGACCAGTCGGTTAGGAGCTCCTCCAGGTCGTTCTGGTGAACAAACATTTCAATCAATAAGGATCAAACTGAATCATAACTTTTGCCTCCAAAGATGAAAAACTCATTTACCTCTATTTTGGTGTGAACCTCATAGATTTCTGGGATGCTGCCAAAAATGGTCTTAATTTCCTCTGGAGCCAAGATGGGGCCGCCTAGTTGGCCCTCTTTCTCTAATGGATGCTTGAAAAGCTGGAACCATCAAAGGAAAGAAGCATCAGAAGCCTGAAACCATTGCCTTGCAGATTTCTTGCTTTAAACATTGTCAGTTTAACTCTAACGCTAAAGAAAACACTGATGCTAAATTAGCTGCTGCTATTAACTACAGGAACCTGGTAACCTTCTGAAACCTGAGAGCCTGTTACAAAAAGTGAGGCCATTGCTTTAGGCCCCGCCCCCCCTTTATTCAGCTTTTCTGAGTGTGAAATAAAAAATTATCTAAAAATGCTAACAGACAAAAAAAAAAAACAAAAAAAAATTACAAAGCAGAAAATACATTTTAACATCAATAAATACAATAAGATTTTAAGGTAGAACTCTATAACTGTTAAATATTAGTAGATTCCCTCAAACAAAGACTGTGGATCAGGTCTGCTTCTTAAGCGTCAGAGAATAAACCGGCCATAAAATAAAGTTTATCCTGCAAAGAAGAACGGAGTGAAAAACATGAAGACCAAATAAGGAGGTGAGGGTCTCCTTCAGTGGGCTGGCATGAATGTCTGCATGGCCAAGCTGAGGGTACCAACACCGCCACATTTAATGATCATTTCTTAGCCTGTTGTCACAGCAACCTGCCAGCCAGCCTATGAAGAAGAGTTAGAGGCTGCGGCACAAAGCGCTGCCTGGCTCACACCTACCTGTAGGATGGTGTTTAAAATGTCTACATAGTTGCTCTCGGTCTGACAGAGCTCCTTGGAGACCTGCCACCGGGCTGACTGCTTGGAAACAGCTGGAGTTGAACTCTCTGCAAGAAGACAGGCGGGTTTTAACAGGACCATGAAGCAGACAACCATATAAAGGCATGTCCCATAAAAGCTCCCTTAAAGAAAAAGGCCACATAAAGCAGACAGAAAGAAACCAGGAGATATTTTCATGAGACACGAGCAGCAGGTAGACACAGGAGCATCACAGAATAAAAAAAGAAAAAACATTTGATCACAGCTTAGAAAGTTTGCTGATGGGATTTATTCACAGAAAGTCTTTAGACGGCTGGTTTGGTGCAGAACGTTTGTATTTAAATTGTAGTTCTGCAGTCCCAGCAAAGTGACGGTTGTTGGTCCAATCGGTCAGGAAGGAGAAGGCAGACCACCAGGAATGGAACTACAGACTGCTTCATGCAGCTTCTGTTCTGCATATTTCTGTTGTTCAGATCTTAATGTAGATTTCTAGACTTTATTTGTAGGGGGGTCTCTGAGAACATGTCCTACAAGCACAGATCATCACTCACTGGCAGCGGGGTTGCTAAGCAACAGAGGAGACTTTGATGGTATGTTTACCAAAGTCTAAAGAAGGTGGAGCAGAAACCTGAAACAGAACGAGGTCTGGGCCGAGGAGGGAAAGGAACTGGACCCAATATGGCAGCTGGGAATAGACTCCAAGTCAGCCAATGTTTAAAGCACATCAGCCATGATGGTTCAGCTGGAGGCGTTCGGCGGATCAGCAGGAGATGAACCTGCAGCATCAGTAGACAGGCTGAGAATGATCTTCTGTGGAAGGGCGGGCCCACGTGGCGTCAAACTCTCATCTCTGATGAAAATAGTGTTTCTGCTGCAGCTATCAGAGTTTACCAGGAGCAGATAAATCGACCTACAGTGCAATATTATACAGTAACGTTTACAGTCACCACAGAAACTTTCATTTTACCATCTAGACCACAGAAACTTTCATTTTACCATCTAGACCACAGAAACTTTCATTTTACCATCTAGACCACAGAAACTTTCATTTTACCATCTAGACCACAGAAACTTTCATTTTACCATCTAAACCACAGAAACTTTCATTTTACCATCTAAACCACAGAAACTTTCATTTTACCATCTAAACCACAGAAACTTTCATTTTACCATCTAAACCACAGAAACTTTCATTTTACCATCTAAACCACAGAAACTTTCATTTTACCATCTAAACCACAGAAACTTTCATTTTACCATCTAAACCACAGAAACTTTCATTTTACCATCTAAACCACAGAAACTTTTATTTTACCATCTAAACCACAGAAACTTTTATTTTACCATCTAAACCACAGAAACTTTCATTTTACCATCTAGACCACAGAAACTTTTATTTTACCATCTAAACCACAGAAACTTTTATTTTACCATCTAAACCACAGAAACTTTTATTTTACCATCTAAACCACAGAAACTTTCATTTTACCATCTAGACCACAGAAACTTTTATTTTACCATCTAAACCACAGAAACTTTTATTTTACCATCTAAACCACAGAAACTTTTATTTTACCATCTAAACCACAGAAACTTTCATTTTACCATCTAAACCACAGAAACTTTTATTTTACCATCTAAACCACAGAAACTTTTATTTTACCATCTAAACCACAGAAACTTTCATTTTACCATCTAGACCACAGAAACTTTTATTTTACCATCTAAACCACAGAAACTTTCATTTTACCATCTAGACCACAGAAACTTTCATTTTACCATCTAGACCACAGAAACTTTCATTTTACCATCTAGACCACAGAAACTTTCATTTTACCATCTAAACCACAGAAACTTTCATTTTACCATCTAGACCACAGAAACTTTCATTTTACCATCTAGACCACAGAAACTTTCATTTTACCATCTAGACCACAGAAACTTTCATTTTACCATCTAGACCACAGAAACTTTCATTTTACCATCTAAACCACAGAAACTTTCATTTTACCATCTAAACCACAGAAACTTTCATTTTACCATCTAAACCACAGAAACTTTCATTTTACCATCTAAACCACAGAAACTTTCATTTTACCATCTAAACCACAGAAACTTTCATTTTACCATCTAAACCACAGAAACTTTCATTTTACCATCTAAACCACAGAAACTTTCATTTTACCATCTAAACCACAGAAACTTTCATTTTACCATCTAAACCACAGAAACTTTCATTTTACCATCTAAACCACAGAAACTTTTATTTTACCATCTAAACCACAGAAACTTTCATTTTACCATCTAAACCACAGAAACTTTCATTTTACCATCTAAACCACAGAAACTTTTATTTTACCATCTAAACCACAGAAACTTTTATTTTACCATCTAAACCACAGAAACTTTCATTTTACCATCTAGACCACAGAAACTTTTATTTTACCATCTAAACCACAGAAACTTTCATTTTACCATCTAGACCACAGAAACTTTCATTTTACCATCTAGACCACAGAAACTTTCATTTTACCATCTAGACCACAGAAACTTTCATTTTACCATCTAAACCACAGAAACTTTTATTTTACCATCTAGACCACAGAAACTTTCATTTTACCATCTAGACCACAGAAACTTTCATTTTACCATCTAAACCACAGAAACTTTTATTTTACCATCTAAACCACAGAAACTTTCATTTTACCATCTAGACCACAGAAACTTTCATTTTACCATCTAAACCACAGAAACTTTTATTTTACCATCTAGACCACAGAAACTTTCATTTTACCATCTAAACCACAGAAACTTTCATTTTACCATCTAAACCACAGAAACTTTCATTTTACCATCTAAACCACAGAAACTTTCATTTTACCATCTAAACCACAGAAACTTTTATTTTACCATCTAAACCACAGAAACTTTTATTTTACCATCTAAACCACAGAAACTTTCATTTTACCATCTAAACCACAGAAACTTTCATTTTACCATCTAAACCACAGAAACTTTCATTTTACCATCTAAACCACAGAAACTTTCATTTTACCATCTAAACCACAGAAACTTTCATTTTACCATCTAAACCACAGAAACTTTCATTTTACCATCTAAACCACAGAAACTTTCATTTTACCATCTAAACCACAGAAACTTTTATTTTACCATCTAAACCACAGAAACTTTCATTTTACCATCTAAACCACAGAAACTTTCATTTTACCATCTAAACCACAGAAACTTTCATTTTACCATCTAAACCACAGAAACTTTCATTTTACCATCTAAACCACAGAAACTTTCATTTTACCATCTAAACCACAGAAACTTTTATTTTACCATCTAAACCACAGAAACTTTCATTTTACCATCTAGACCACAGAAACTTTCATTTTACCATCTAAACCACAGAAACTTTCATTTTACCATCTAAACCACAGAAACTTTCATTTTACCATCTAGACCACAGAAACTTTCATTTTACCATCTAAACCACAGAAACTTTCATTTTACCATCTAGACCACAGAAACTTTCATTTTACCATCTAAACCACAGAAACTTTCATTTTACCATCTAAACCACAGAAACTTTCATTTTACCATCTAAACCACAGAAACTTTCATTTTACCATCTAAACCACAGAAACTTTCATTTTACCATCTAAACCACAGAAACTTTCATTTTACCATCTAAACCACAGAAACTTTCATTTTACCATCTAAACCACAGAAACTTTCATTTTACCATCTAAACCACAGAAACTTTCATTTTACCATCTAAACCACAGAAACTTTCATTTTACCATCTAAACCACAGAAACTTTCATTTTACCATCTAAACCACAGAAACTTTTATTTTACCATCTAAACCACAAAAGCTGCAGCTTTTTCTTCCCTTCTTTATAATCCTACATTAAGGCACCTAAAGGGCGGGACGTAGACATTCAGCCTGACCTGCTCTGTCTGACCCTCCTCATTATCAGGAGGATCACTACTTTATCCATCCTCCTGAACTCTGATCATGGGAAAGTTTTCCATTTTAATGTTTCATCGTTTCGGTCCTGCTCACCATAAACGCGATGTGCGTCTCCAAACTGACTCTTTCCTGGTGAGATGAACAGATTTTATTTCATATTTTCCCCCAAAGCGGATGTTTTATTCTGTAACCGCGTCTCTCTTCCAGTCAGACCCATTAACTGCTGCTGAAATAGACCTGGGCTCTGTCTCAGTCGGAGCTACGCTGCCCCCTGCTGGAAATCAGCCCCATTGACTTTCACTGAGAGCTAAACGCCACCATCGCCACGGAACAAACACAAATGGGATCAGGTGTGTCCCGGCTGCAACCTAACGCCTTATAGTAATGGAGTCGACGTAACCAGTAATGTCGTCAATCAATTAGCAGTGTGGTGGTCTGCGTTCTGGCTCAGCAGTCTACAGACCAGACAGCCGAGGATTTTGGTCACAGATTATACCTTAGAGGAGAAGCTAACCTGCAGACGCTCCTTCCTGCTGATCTTCAGGTGTCTGCTGGCAGGTATGCGCTCCCAGGTGGGACCTTTTTCCCCTCTTTTCCCTGTCTGACCTACTTTTCCTGTCTTTGGTTTTCCTTCTTCTCATCCTATCCCTGGCCACAGCACTGTCCCCTACTCTGTCTTCTGGAATAAAGAAGGATGTTTGACATTCTCTGATGGAAGGACACAGATTTCCTCTCCCATTAAGGCCCACCGGCGCCTCTGGTTCTTACCTCCTAAGGCCTTGCAGGTCTCTGGGGTGTTTGAGATGTCCAGCAGAGAGCCGCTGGACAGGGAGTGCTCTGCTGATGGTCTTTTGCGTGGTGGCGGGAAGGGAGACATTCCAGTTTCCTTGGTGAGCTGAGCAAGAGTGTCCCTGAGACGCCGGCGCTTGCGGTTACTGCTGGGCGTGGCGAGGGACAGCAGGGAGACAGCTTTCTTCATGGCGGGGCTGTCGTTCTGTTGGCCAAAGATGAAGGAATCCAGGAGATTTAATAAAGAGGCTGAGCGGTTTACCTCTGGATATGATGCATGTTAGAGAATATCGGTTAAACATGACTCACCTTTTCATACAGGTACATGGACTCATCAGCTCGCGCGTCCATCTGAATGCTTCCCCAGAACCACTGGAACATGAGAGACACAGTTACTGGGACATGCATTGTCCTCCCAGTGAAACCAGCAGCTGAACAGGCTGGTTTTCATCATCTGAGCCACAGCAACCAGAAGGAGAAAAGTCTGGAAACATCTCAGACATAAAATGTTCCTGTGTTCATCTTATGAGGAGACTTTTTATTGTCCTGCATACATAAAGATCATTTAGTTTGATTCTTTTTTAATTTTGCAGATTTTCCTTCAAACATGCAGAGCTCACCTCCTGTTTGACCACATAGAGCGCCTTAGAAGGAGGTGCAGGGAGGTCCTTCACCGAGTTCTCCTCCACCACCATGTGAGTGCACTGCTCATCTCCCAGCTCAGCATGTCCTCCACCTTAACAGAGCAGAGAGGAAAGCATCCATGGGTTCAGGAGGAGGGATGACAGACCTCAGCTGCCTGAAGGTTAAAGGATTCAAATCTTAAAATCCACCGACTGATGGACGCCATCTGAGCCCTGGAGGTCACCGCCACATTGTCACTAAGAGCTTTTCAAACTGCTCAGTGCTGCCCCAAGAGGCCCAACGCTGCTATGGTTGCTGTTTTCTACTGGTTGCCATGGTACCCGCTGGTAACCGTTAAATAGAGCCAGGTTGTCGCAGCACGCCATCCCGCCGCCTCAGCAGCACCTTCAAGCTAACGGCTAGAAGTTCGCTGGACTCAGCCGCCGGAGTCAGGGATGAAACGGCTCATCATGGCGTCAGAACCCGCCGTCCTCTGCTCGCCGTCTGGGACTCAATCAGAGCGAGTCTGATTTGGTGTCAGCTGATCAGCAGCCTGTTGATTTTTCTATTCACTGCTTTTTCTTAATCCTACAAGCGGTAACCTGGTTCACATGATGAAGAAGTGAAGGAGATGAACGTTTATTATTATTTATTAAGATCCCCATTAATGATCCTGGAGTCCCGATATAAAAGGATTTAACCAGGAACCATCGAAGCCGACTTCATCCTGAGTGATGAACGGATCAGCCTGCAGCTCTGCAGAGGGAACAGAACGTCCACCCGGCATTACCTGAACGCCAGCCGTTCGCCAGGCCCTTCGCCAGGCAGGCCTTCGCCAGGCCATCGCCAGGCCCTTCGCCAGGCTGTTCGCCAGGCGTTCGGTCTAAAGGACACTGAGAAACAGGCAGGCCAGAGAAAAGGCCAAAAAGCCGTCCTCCAAAACCAATCGCTCCATTCAAAGTTTATTTTTAGCTTCTATTTAGTGACAAAGTTTAAACACATGAAGATCAATCATTCCTGGACAAGAGGAACTAAGGGATAAAAGCATCAGGAGTTAAATTACAAACCGTGTTTCAGAGTCCTCTCCTGCATGTTGGCCTTCTCTTCCTCTGAGAAACCCAAAAAGCAGAGGACACAGTTCTGGAAGGGCGGCACTTTGAACTCTGATCGGAAATCCTCCTGGCTGGCGTGGAAATGCCTTTAGAAAGAGGAAGAGGAGAGAAGCAGTGTGACATCATCAGCATGGCTTTAAAACAGCAATCAGCTGATTCAGTCGTGATCCAACATCTGCCATCGCTTTAAAACCGCTGGATGGAGAAAAGGAGCAGAGTTTTTAAAACTAGCTTCCCAGCAGGTGAATATCCAGAACTTCAGGGTCCAAAGGCAGAGAGCTGCTCCACATGTCCGTCACTGGATCAGAACCAGCAGACAGAATGAAAACAATCAGTTTTTTACTCACACATCATCTCTTCTCTCCCACGCCTCCTCAATCCAAGATGGACAGACGATGGGCGTCCCCAGACACACCGCCAGCTGAGACAGAACGGCAAAGAAAGACAGACTTTAGGGACCAGCAGCGGGCGAGGAACGAGCAGCGGGCGAGGAACGAGCAGCAGCGGGCGAGGAACGAGCAGCAGCGGGCGAGGGACCAGCAGCATCTCTGGGTTACTTTCTTCAAACGTTCAGGCAAAATCAGGATTAGGGCTGCAACTAACGATTATTTTAAAAATCGATGAATCGGACAAAAAATATTTTTTATATTAACCTCTTTATTCCAAAATAAACATTTTAGACAGAACAAACAAGCACACAAGTACAGGTTGCTCATTAACTGTACTGGTGCAATATGGAAAATAAATGTTTGTGTTAAAACTACGCAAACTTACATGAGAAATGTAGCTGTACATCCACAAAATATAGGCTACTTTGGTTCATAAAGCGCAAAAAGAGACATTTTTGTTTTTAAAGCCCCTAAGGGGTTCAAACAATAGGCCCCCCCATTTCAACAAATGAGTTTTTTTAGACTAGAAGAGTTCTGCCTTTTAAGACAGGAAAGTATAGCAGTTAAAGTTGCTACTTGAGAAAATACTGAACCATAGAGATAAAAATAGCCCTGTGGTTCAAATTATAAATTGTATTTGGAATAAAAATGAGAGAACTAGGGGTGCTAAAAAACACATCCTCCAAAGACAGATATTTACATGGGAATGTGGCAGATAATTAATTGACATATTACTGATCTTGCTGGATTTTATTCTGCTTTACTTCCATAAATTGCAGGATCTTCTTTACTTTATCTTTGCCAGAAGATTTAAACTTTAAAAGTCTTGCCCTCATAATTTGCAAGTTAATTTCTTTATAAAGTAAATGTAAACGCTGTTTAAGCTAAATCAAATGAAATTAAAAGTAAAATAAGTAGCCAACCTTATCACTGTCTGTAACCTACTAACACGGTAAGGAAAGCATCAGATGAGCTACCTGAGAAACTAACGTTACGTTTCCCCACTTTAAAACCAAACAAACATGGCCGCTCACCCTGCTGATCAGCTCTCTTCTCTGCCATCGAAGGCTCCAACGGGTTTCCTTTGCAGGTGCTGCGTCATAACAGTGGTGCCTCCGCGCCATGTTCATTTGTTTTTACAAAAGTTGCCTGTTACGACTTTTTTCGCTTTACAAAGCGCAGGCTATTTTAATTATTGTGATCAATTTGCGCCGTCAATCCCGGCGCATGCGCGCTTCATTTGCAGTCTGGACGCTGAGGCTCTGACTGCAGCGCTGAGAGGGATTCCTGTGGGGTTGGGATGGGGGACGCGCCCCACGGCAATGACGGTGGCGGCGGATGACGCATTAATCGCGCGAACCAACTAATCGATGATGAAATTCGTTGCCAACGCTTTTAAAAGTCGATTTTTATCGATTCGTTGTTGCAGCCCTAATCAGGATTATTTTCTTCCTCACAAAACGTGTGAGGAGCAAACACCAGATGATGGAAGGAGACTAGGAGGAGAAGTGAGGAGCAAACACCAGGTGATGGAAGGAGACTAGGAGGAGAAGTGAGGAGCAAACACCAGGTGATGGAAGGAGACTAGGAGGAGAAGTGAGGAGCAAACACCAGGTGATGGAAGGAGACTAGGAGGAGAAGTGAGGAGCAAACACCAGATGATGGAAGGAGACTAGGAGGAGAAGTGAGGAGCAAACACCAGGTGATGGAAGGAGACTAGGAGGAGAAGTGAGGAGCAAACACCAGATGATGGAAGGAGACTAGGAGGAGAAGTGAGGAGCAAACACCAGGTGATGGAAGGAGACTAGGAGGAGAAGTGAGGAGCAAACACCAGATGATGGAAGGAGACTAGGAGGAGAAGTGAGGAGCAAACACCAGGTGATGGAAGGAGACTAGGAGGAGAAGTGAGGAGCAAACACCAGATGATGGAAGGAGACTAGGAGGAGAAGTGAGGAGCAAACACCAGATGATGGAAGGAGACTAGGAGGAGAAGTGAGGAGCAAACACCAGGTGATGGAAGGAGACTAGGAGGAGAAGTGAGGAGCAAACACCAGATGATGGAAGGAGACTAGGAGGAGAAGTGAGGAGCAAACACCAGGTGATGGAAGGAGACTAGGAGGAGAAGTGAGGAGCAAACACCAGGTGATGGAAGGGGGGACTAGGGGAGAAGTGAGGAGGGAAAAAACCCAAAGATGGAAGGGGACTAGGGGGAGAAGTGAGGAGCAAACAAAAGATGATGAAAAGGGACTAGGAGGAGAATTTAGGAGGGAAAAAACCGGTGATGGGAAAGGGGAAATGGAAAGGGAAGTGAGGAGCAAACACCAGGTGAAGGAAGGGGACCCAGGAGGAGAAGTTTAGGACAAAACCAGGTGATGGAAGGAAGACCCAGGAGGGGAAGTGAGGAGCAAACAAAAGGGGGATGGGAAAGGGACTAGGAGGGAATGAGGAGCAAAAAACCCGGGTTTATGGAAAAGGGGACTAGGGGAGAAGTGAGGAAACAAAAAACCAGGGGATGGAAGGGGGGGCTAGGAGGGGAAAATGAGGAGCAAAAAACCAGGGGGATGGGGAAAGGGGAACCCAGGGGGAGAAGGGAGGGGCAAACACCAGGTTGGGGAACTAGGGGGAGAAGTGAGGAGCAAAAAAACCAGGTGATGGAAGGGGACTAGGGGGGAGAAGTGAGGAGCAAAAAACCAGGTGATGGAAGGAGATAGGGGGAGAAGTGAGGAGCAAACCCAGATTTAGGGAAAGGGGACTAGGGGGGAGAAAATGAGGAGCAAAACCAGATGAAAGGAAAGGGGACTAGGAGGAGAATGAGGACAAAAACCCGATTATGGAAGGGAAATTGGAGGAGAAAAGGGGGAGCAAACAAACCCGGTGGGTGGAAGGAAAACTAGGGGAGAAGTGAGGAGCAAACACCAGATGAAAGGAAGGGAATAGGAGGAGAAGTGGGGAGCAAACACCAGAAAGATGGAAGGAGAAATAGGGGGAGAAGTGAGGAGCAAACACCAGGTGATGGAAGGAGGGCTAGGGGGGGAAGTGAGGAAACAAACCCCAGGTGAAGGGAAAGGGGACTAGGAGGAGAAGTGAGGAAAAAACACCAGATGATTGGGGAAAGGGGACTAGGGGGAGAAGGGGAGGAGCAAACACCGGTGATGGAAGGAGACTAGGAGGAGAAGTGAGGAGCAAACACCAGATGATGGAAGGAGACTAGGAGGAGAAGTGAGGAGCAAACACCAGATGATGGAAGGAGACTAGGAGGAGAAGTGAGGAGCAAACACCAGGTGATGGAAGGAGACTAGGAGGAGAAGTGAGGAGCAAACACCAGGTGATGGAAGGAGACTAGGAGGAGAAGTGAGGAGCAAACACCAGATGATGGAAGGAGACTAGGAGGAGAAGTGAGGAGCAAACACCAGGTGATGGAAGGAGACTAGGAGGAGAAGTGAGGAGCAAACACCAGGTGATGGAAGGAGACTAGGAGGAGAAGTGAGGAGCAAACACCAGGTGATGGAAGGAGACTAGGAGGAGAAGTGAGGAGCAAACACCAGGTGATGGAAGGAGACTAGGAGGAGAAGTGAGGAGCAAACACCAGATGATGGAAGGAGACTAGGAGGAGAAGTGAGGAGCAAACACCAGGTGATGGAAGGAGACTAGGAGGAGAAGTGAGGAGCAAACACCAGGTGATGGAAGGAGACTAGGAGGAGAAGTGAGGAGCAAACACCAGGTGATGGAAGGAGACTAGGAGGAGAAGTGAGGAGCAAACACCAGGTGATGGAAGGAGACTAGGAGGAGAAGTGAGGAGCAAACACCAGATGATGGAAGGAGACTAGGAGGAGAAGTGAGGAGCAAACACCAGGATGATGGAAGGAGACTAGGAGGAGAAGTGAGGAGCAAACACCAGGTGATGGAAGGAGACTAGGAGGAGAAGTGAGGAGCAAACACCAGGTGATGGAAGGAGACTAGGAGGAGAAGTGAGGAGCAAACACCAGATGATGGAAGGAGACTAGGAGGAGAAGTGAGGAGCAAACACCAGGTGATGGAAGGAGACTAGGAGGAGAAGTGAGGAGCAAACACCAGATGATGGAAGGAGACTAGGAGGAGAAGTGAGGAGCAAACACCAGGTGATGGAAGGAGACTAGGAGGAGAAGTGAGGAGCAAACACCAGTGATGGAAGGAGACTAGGAGGAGAAGTGAGGAGCAAACACCAGGTGATGGAAGGAGACTAGGAGGAGAAGTGAGGAGCAAACACCAGATGATGGAAGGAGACTAGGAGGAGAAGTGAGGAGCAAACACCAGGTGATGGAAGGAGACTAGGAGGAGAAGTGAGGAGCAAACACCAGATGATGGAAGGAGACTAGGAGGAGAAGTGAGGAGCAAACACCAGGTGATGGAAGGAGACTAGGAGGAGAAGTGAGGAGCAAACACCAGATGATGGAAGGAGACTAGGAGGAGAAGTGAGGAGCAAACACCAGATGATGGAAGGAGACTAGGAGGAGAAGTGAGGAGCAAACACCAGATGATGGAAGGAGACTAGGAGGAGAAGTGAGGAGCAAACACCAGGTGATGGAAGGAGACTAGGAGGAGAAGTGAGGAGCAAACACCAGATGATGGAAGGAGACTAGGAGGAGAAGTGAGGAGCAAACACCAGATGATGGAAGGAGACTAGGAGGAGAAGTGAGGAGCAAACACCAGGTGATGGAAGGAGACTAGGAGGAGAAGTGAGGAGCAAACACCAGATGATGGAAGGAGACTAGGAGGAGAAGTGAGGAGCAAACACCAGGTGATGGAAGGAGACTAGGAGGAGAAGTGAGGAGCAAACACCAGGTGATGGAAGGAGACTAGGAGGAGAAGTGAGGAGCAAACACCAGATGATGGAAGGAGACTAGGAGGAGAAGTGAGGAGCAAACACCAGGTGATGGAAGGAGACTAGGAGGAGAAGTGAGGAGCAAACACCAGGTGATGGAAGGAGACTAGGAGGAGAAGTGAGGAGCAAACACCAGGTGATGGAAGGAGACTAGGAGGAGAAGTGAGGAGCAAACACCAGGTGATGGAAGGAGACTAGGAGGAGAAGTGAGGAGCAAACACCAGGTGATGGAAGGAGACTAGGAGGAGAAGTGAGGAGCAAACACCAGATGATGGAAGGAGACTAGGAGGAGAAGTGAGGAGCAAACACCAGGTGATGGAAGGAGACTAGGAGGAGAAGTGAGGAGCAAACACCAGATGATGGAAGGAGACTAGGAGGAGAAGTGAGGAGCAAACACCAGGTGATGGAAGGAGACTAGGAGGAGAAGTGAGGAGCAAACACCAGGTGATGGAAGGAGACTAGGAGGAGAAGTGAGGAGCAAACACCAGATGATGGAAGGAGACTAGGAGGAGAAGTGAGGAGCAAACACCAGATGATGGAAGGAGACTAGGAGGAGAAGTGAGGAGCAAACACCAGATGATGGAAGGAGACTAGGAGGAGAAGTGAGGAGCAAACACCAGATGATGGAAGGAGACTAGGAGGAGAAGTGAGGAGCAAACACCAGGTGATGGAAGGAGACTAGGAGGAGAAGTGAGGAGCAAACACCAGATGATGGAAGGAGACTAGGAGGAGAAGTGAGGAGCAAACACCAGATGATGGAAGGAGACTAGGAGGAGAAGTGAGGAGCAAACACCAGGTGATGGAAGGAGACTAGGAGGAGAAGTGAGGAGCAAACACCAGATGATGGAAGGAGACTAGGAGGAGAAGTGAGGAGCAAACACCAGGTGATGGAAGGAGACTAGGAGGAGAAGTGAGGAGCAAACACCAGGTGATGGAAGGAGACTAGGAGGAGAAGTGAGGAGCAAACACCAGGTGATGGAAGGAGACTAGGAGGAGAAGTGAGGAGCAAACACCAGGTGATGGAAGGAGACTAGGAGGAGAAGTGAGGAGCAAACACCAGGTGATGGAAGGAGACTAGGAGGAGAAGTGAGGAGCAAACACCAGGTGATGGAAGGAGACTAGGAGGAGAAGTGAGGAGCAAACACCAGGTGATGGAAGGAGACTAGGAGGAGAAGTGAGGAGCAAACACCAGGTGATGGAAGGAGACTAGGAGGAGAAGTGAGGAGCAAACACCAGATGATGGAAGGAGACTAGGAGGAGAAGTGAGGAGCAAACACCAGGTGATGGAAGGAGACTAGGAGGAGAAGTGAGGAGCAAACACCAGGTGATGGAAGGAGACTAGGAGGAGAAGTGAGGAGCAAACACCAGGTGATGGAAGGAGACTAGGAGGAGAAGTGAGGAGCAAACACCAGGTGATGGAAGGAGACTAGGAGGAGAAGTGAGGAGCAAACACCAGGTGATGGAAGGAGACTAGGAGGAGAAGTGAGGAGCAAACACCAGGTGATGGAAGGAGACTAGGAGGAGAAGTGAGGAGCAAACACCAGATGATGGAAGGAGACTAGGAGGAGAAGTGAGGAGCAAACACCAGGTGATGGAAGGAGACTAGGAGGAGAAGTGAGGAGCAAACACCAGGTGATGGAAGGAGACTAGGAGGAGAAGTGAGGAGCAAACACCAGGTGATGGAAGGAGACTAGGAGGAGAAGTGAGGAGCAAACACCAGGTGATGGAAGGAGACTAGGAGGAGAAGTGAGGAGCAAACACCAGATGATGGAAGGAGACTAGGAGGAGAAGTGAGGAGCAAACACCAGATGATGGAAGGAGACTAGGAGGAGAAGTGAGGAGCAAACACCAGATGATGGAAGGAGACTAGGAGGAGAAGTGAGGAGCAAACACCAGGTGATGGAAGGAGACTAGGAGGAGAAGTGAGGAGCAAACACCAGGTGATGGAAGGAGACTAGGAGGAGAAGTGAGGAGCAAACACCAGGTGATGGAAGGAGACTAGGAGGAGAAGTGAGGAGCAAACACCAGATGATGGAAGGAGACTAGGAGGAGAAGTGAGGAGCAAACACCAGGTGATGGAAGGAGACTAGGAGGAGAAGTGAGGAGCAAACACCAGGTGATGGAAGGAGACTAGGAGGAGAAGTGAGGAGCAAACACCAGATGATGGAAGGAGACTAGGAGGAGAAGTGAGGAGCAAACACCAGGTGATGGAAGGAGACTAGGAGGAGAAGTGAGGAGCAAACACCAGATGATGGAAGGAGACTAGGAGGAGAAGTGAGGAGCAAACACCAGATGATGGAAGGAGACTAGGAGGAGAAGTGAGGAGCAAACACCAGATGATGGAAGGAGACTAGGAGGAGAAGTGAGGAGCAAACACCAGGTGATGGAAGGAGACTAGGAGGAGAAGTGAGGAGCAAACACCAGATGATGGAAGGAGACTAGGAGGAGAAGTGAGGAGCAAACACCAGGTGATGGAAGGAGACTAGGAGGAGAAGTGAGGAGCAAACACCAGGTGATGGAAGGAGACTAGGAGGAGAAGTGAGGAGCAAACACCAGGTGATGGAAGGAGACTAGGAGGAGAAGTGAGGAGCAAACACCAGGTGATGGAAGGAGACTAGGAGGAGAAGTGAGGAGCAAACACCAGGTGATGGAAGGAGACTAGGAGGAGAAGTGAGGAGCAAACACCAGGTGATGGAAGGAGACTAGGAGGAGAAGTGAGGAGCAAACACCAGATGATGGAAGGAGACTAGGAGGAGAAGTGAGGAGCAAACACCAGGTGATGGAAGGAGACTAGGAGGAGAAGTGAGGAGCAAACACCAGGTGATGGAAGGAGACTAGGAGGAGAAGTGAGGAGCAAACACCAGGTGATGGAAGGAGACTAGGAGGAGAAGTGAGGAGCAAACACCAGGTGATGGAAGGAGACTAGGAGGAGAAGTGAGGAGCAAACACCAGGTGATGGAAGGAGACTAGGAGGAGAAGTGAGGAGCAAACACCAGATGATGGAAGGAGACTAGGAGGAGAAGTGAGGAGCAAACACCAGGTGATGGAAGGAGACTAGGAGGAGAAGTGAGGAGCAAACACCAGGTGATGGAAGGAGACTAGGAGGAGAAGTGAGGAGCAAACACCAGATGATGGAAGGAGACTAGGAGGAGAAGTGAGGAGCAAACACCAGATGATGGAAGGAGACTAGGAGGAGAAGTGAGGAGCAAACACCAGGTGATGGAAGGAGACTAGGAGGAGAAGTGAGGAGCAAACACCAGGTGATGGAAGGAGACTAGGAGGAGAAGTGAGGAGCAAACACCAGATGATGGAAGGAGACTAGGAGGAGAAGTGAGGAGCAAACACCAGGTGATGGAAGGAGACTAGGAGGAGAAGTGAGGAGCAAACACCAGGTGATGGAAGGAGACTAGGAGGAGAAGTGAGGAGCAAACACCAGGTGATGGAAGGAGACTAGGAGGAGAAGTGAGGAGCAAACACCAGGTGATGGAAGGAGACTAGGAGGAGAAGTGAGGATCTGGGATGTCAGTACCAGACCCAGACGTCTTTCGTTACCTTTACTGCTGAAACTGGTTGAGCTGTTTAGCTTTTAATGCTCAGGAAAATGTCTCTAAAAGCTTTTTATGAAAACCTTAAATGTTGTGGATTATTTTTCTAAGGCTAAAGAAGAAATAACGACGACAGGACAGTCGCTAAAGTTAAGGTTGGTGGATTTAATGCAGGTGGCCTTCTGTTGATGTGAAGCGTCATCGTTTGCTATAATGAGCAGAAGACATGGAAGATTTCCATCTTTAACCAAATGAATCATCCAGATGAGCAGGAATGTACCAACCCTGTATTTCTCTCCATTAGTGGAGCAGGCAACCAGATGAGTGACCTTGGTGCTAAAGTCTTTCCGGATTGTTCCGCCCATATGATGAACCAAATTCACCAGTTTTCTCTAAAAAGCAAAAGGAGGACAAAAACATGAGGAGAGAAACATGACGGTTGATCCCATCTGGGATGATTCCAGGAATGTTTGGAGGATGAAAACGGTTCTCACCATTTGCTCCTTGTTCCTGAAGCCAGTGAAGCACAGCGTCAGGGTCAGCATGGCCGTGCAGTAAATGGGACGGCATGAAAAATGGAGGGGCTGCAGAAAATAAAGGGAAAATTCAGCTGATGAAGCCTCTGAATTAAAGGGACACTATGCAACATTTTTCAGTTAATTAATGTGTTCCATAACGTTATGGATGACTAAATGAGTCATTTCAGGTTGAACAAAGGTATTCTCGGCCGCCCTGGTGGTCTGTGGGGGAAATACTGCACTTGCAACTGCAGGAGCACCGACCCGCACCCACAGGCTCAGAAGTCTCGTGAGAGTCAGTCTTGCTTTACGGCGAGAACTGCTACACCCCCCAGTTAAAAGCATTCTCGTTGCTAGCACAGTGGCGATCCTTGTGCAGTTATGCTACGTTCACGCAGCAAAAGCAGCAAAATCGCGTCTGCTGCTTCATTTTAACTGCTTGTACCAGTTTAGTTCTGACGCGTGGCTGAAGCAGCTTTGCTGCTCTGGCTGCCTGGTGCAAAAGTGGCACTGACGCGCGTTGGGCGGAGCTTCACTATCCTTTCTCTGCCTTGCAGCTATATTTGCTGTGATCAGTGGGAATAAAGTAGTTTTAATATGTGTTTAAGTGAGAAAATACACCTGAAAACGTAATCAGTGCAGGCAGTTCATTTAGATTATTATCCTGCCTTCCATATTTTTTTTCTGTCGGAGCCGCTCAGACCCCCACATACCAGCGGGGCGCCGACAGTATGGATCCCTTCATCAGCAGCGGTTCACCGCGGCAGCTGGTAGGTGTTTTTCATCTAAATAATCCAAACTGCATATTCTGCCGGCAGATTTCTGCATTTTAAGTTAATTTAGGCGTCAATAAACTGTTTAAGAGGAGTGATCATCAGCGCTGTGTCACTCTCCCTGCGTTAAACGCGCCCGATGCGCTGCTTCAGCTGCTCAGACGCGCTGCGCGTGGTGCTCAAAACGCGCCGCGGCACCTTTTGTTGCGCCTTGACGCGCGTCAACCATTGACTTTGCATGTAAACTCGCTGCTTCTGTCGCGCCAGCTACGTCCAGTGTGAACGCAGCATTAGTCATTCGCTGCTAAGCTCAAAACAACCGCGCCTGGCTTGACGGAGAAACCAGGAGAACAGCTGAGCATATTTACGACAGTGCACTTTTACTTTCGCCCTCTGGAGGGACCCTCACTGGAAAATCAACACCGGTTGCATAGTGTACCTTTAAACGCTTTTAGCAGCGAATGCTAACAGGAGTCAGGCTCACGGCTCTCAGTGCTTCCTGTAAAATCATCTCAGAGCTTTGAACCATTCTAGTAATTCTATTTCTTTATCAGCAAACAGCTATTTGACTGGATTGATCTGAGCAGTACCCCCACCCTGACCTGGAAAATTGTTTTTACGTTTTTGTCGGCATCCGATACCCCGCTCACATCGGGAGAAAAACGTGTTTAAAGCCGGGAACAGTGGGCTTTGTGCGGCTCTGTTCGGCATGCTGTGGGAACACCAGAGCCTGGTTGACCCACTAAATTACGTGATACCATTGAACGCATCGTATGGACGCCAGTCGCTTCTGATCCAACAAGCAGAAACATGATAAACATGGAGCAGCTTTGGTGAGACGGATTCAGACGGAAACAATAAAGCACACCGACTACACCCTGGCTTCCTGCAATGTTGTTCTCCGTTGTTTACTCTCCTGATTTCTCTCCTAGCATGATGATGTCACCAGAAGCATTGGGGGACAGACACAGCACTGCTGATGCAGAGCGCTATGATCACTCCTCTGAAACAGTTTATTAACGTCTAAATTATCTTCAAATGTAGAAACCTGCCGGCAGAATATGTTGGCTTTTATTATCCTGCTGCCTGCAGTTTGGATTACGTACGTGAAAAACACCTTCCAGCCGGTCGCCTCCGCCGCAGCACACCGCTTACGGTCGCTTTGCGGTCTGGAAGGTGTTTTTCATGTATGTAATTTTATTTATTTTAGTGTAACTTCCAGACCTTCTATTTCACTGCTTGCTACGCGGCTGTGGGGAGGACTTCAAACCACATGGCAAGAAATGCATCAGAGAAGATCTGCTGCACCTTTAACAGGACAGAATAAGTCTGGAGAGACAGGAGGGAGAGAGATGAAAGAGAAAGGATGGAAGGAAGGAGGAGCCAAAACAGAGGGAAGGAAAGGAGGGAAGGAAGGAGGAGCCAAAACTGAGGGAAGGAAAGGAGGGAAGGAAGGAGGAGCCAAAACAGAGGGAAGGAAAGGAGGGAAGGAAGGAGGAGCCAAAACGGAGGGAAGGAAAGGAGGGAAGGAAGGAGGAGCCAAAATAGAGGGAAGGAAAGGAGGAGCCCTTTCTGGGATGAGGCATAGACAGAGGATGAGGCAAAGACGGAGGATGAGGCAAAGACGGAGGGAGGCAAAGACGGAGGATGAGCAAAGACGGAGGATGAGCAAAGATGGAGGATGAGCAAAGATGGAGGATGAGGCAAAGATGGAGGATGAGGCAAAGATGGAGGATGAGCAAAGATGGAGGATGAGGCAAAGATGGAGGATGAGGCAAAGATGGAGGATGAGCAAAGATGGAGGATGAGGCAAAGATGGAGGATGAGGCAAAGATGGAGGATGAGGCAAAGATGGAGGATGAGGCAAAGATGGAGGATGAGGCAAAGATGGAGGATGAGCAAAGATGGAGGATGAAGCAAAGATGGAGGATGAGCAAAGATGGAGGATGAGCAAAGATGGAGGATGAGGCAAAGATGGAGGATGAGCAAACATGGAGGATGAGGCAAAGATGGAGGATGAGGCAAAGATGGAGGATGAGGCAAAGATGGAGGATGAGGCAAAGATGGAGGATGAGGCAAAGATGGAGGATGAGGCAAAGACGGAGAATGAGCAAAGATGGAGGATGAGCAAAGATGGAGGATGAGCAAAGATGGAGGATGAGCAAAGATGGAGGATGAGGCAAAGATGGAGGATGAGGCAAAGATGGAGGATGAGCAAAGATGGAGGATGAGCAAAGATGGAGGATGAGGCAAAGATGGAGGATGAGGCAAAGATGGAGGATGAGGCAAAGATGGAGGATGAGGCAAAGATAGAGGATGAGCAAAGATGGAGGATGAGGCAAAGATGGAGGATGAGGCAAAGATGGAGGATGAGGCAAAGATGGAGGATGAGGCAAAGATGGAGGATGAGCAAAGATGGAGGATGAAGCAAAGATGGAGGATGAGGCAAAGATGGAGGATGAGCAAAGATGGAGGATGAGTAAAGATGGAGGATGAGTAAAGATGGAGGATGAGGCATAGATGGAGGATGAGCAAAGATGGAGGATGAGGCAAAGATGGAGGATGAGGCAAAGATGGAGGATGAAGCAAAGATGGAGGATGAGGCAAAGATGGAGGATGAGGCAAATATGGAGGATGAGGCAAAGATGGAGGATGAGCAAAGATGGAGGATGAGCAAAGATGGAGGATGAGGCAAAGATGGAGGATGAGGCAAAGATGGAGGATGAGGCAAAGATGGAGGATGAGCAAAGATGGAGGATGAGGCAAAGATGGAGGATGAGGCAAAGATGGAGGATGAGCAAAGATGGAGGATGAGGCAAAGATGGAGGATGAGCAAAGATGGAGGATGAGTAAAGATGGAGGATGAGGCAAAGATGGAGGATGAGCAAAGATGGAGGATGAGTAAAGATGGAGGATGAGGCAAAGATGGAGGATGAGCAAAGATGGAGGATGAGTAAAGATGGAGGATGAGTAAAGATGGAGGATGAGTAAAGATGGAGGATGAGGCAAAGATGGAGGATGAGCAAAGATGGAGGATGAGCAAAGATGGAGGATGAGCAAAGATGGAGGATGAGCAAAGATGGAGGATGAGGCAAAGATGGAGGATGAGGCAAAGATGGAGGATGAGGCAAAGATGGAGGATGAGGCAAAGATGGAGGATGAGGCAAAGACGGAGGGAGGCAAAGACGGAGGATGAGCAAAGACGGAGGATGAGCAAAGATGGAGGATGAGCAAAGACGGAGGATGAGGCAAAGACGGAGGATGAGGCAAAGATGGAGGATGAGGCAAAGATGGAGGATGAGCAAAGATGGAGGATGAGGCAAAGATGGAGGATGAGGCAAAGATGGAGGATGAGGCAAAGATGGAGGATGAGGCAAAGATGGAGGATGAGGCAAAGATGGAGGATGAGCAAAGATGGAGGATGAGCAAAGATGGAGGATGAGGCAAAGATGGAGGATGAGGCAAAGATGGAGGATGAGGCAAAGATGGAGGATGAGGCAAAGATGGAGGATGAGGCAAAGATGGAGGATGAGCAAAGATGGAGGATGAAGCAAAGATGGAGGATGAAGCAAAGATGGAGGATGAGCAAAGATGGAGGATGAGGCAAAGATGGAGGATGAGCAAAGATGGAGGATGAGTAAAGATGGAGGATGAGGCAAAGATGGAGGATGAGCAAAGATGGAGGATGAGGCAAAGATGGAGGATGAGGCAAAGATGGAGGATGAAGCAAAGATGGAGGATGAGGCAAAGATGGAGGATGAGGCAAATATGGAGGATGAGGCAAAGATGGAGGATGAGCAAAGATGGAGGATGAGCAAAGATGGAGGATGAGGCAAAGATGGAGGATGAGGCAAAGATGGAGGATGAGGCAAAGATGGAGGATGAGCAAAGATGGAGGATGAAGCAAAGATGGAGGATGAGGCAAAGATGGAGGATGAGCAAAGATGGAGGATGAGGCAAAGATGGAGGATGAGCAAAGATGGAGGATGAGTAAAGATGGAGGATGAGTAAAGATGGAGGATGAGGCAAAGATGGAGGATGAGTAAAGATGGAGGATGAGGCAAAGATGGAGGATGAGGCAAAGATGGAGGATGAGCAAAGATGGAGGATGAGCAAAGATGGAGGATGAAGCAAAGATGGAGGATGAGGCAAAGATGGAGGATGAGCAAAGATGGAGGATGAGCAAAGATGGAGGATGAGTAAAGATGGAGGATGAGGCAAAGATGGAGGATGAGCAAAGATGGAGGATGAGGCAAAGATGGAGGATGAGGCAAAGATGGAGGATGAGGCAAAGATGGAGGATGAGGCAAAGATGGAGGATGAGCAAAGATGGAGGATGAGCAAAGATGGAGGATGAGCAAAGATGGAGGATGAGCAAAGATGGAGGATGAGTAAAGATGGAGGATGAGCAAGCGGAAGGTTCGTCATTAGATACTGGCCTCTTCCTTTGCAGCGCAGTGCAGAACAAACGGAGGGCCGACGATGCGCTGCTCCTGTTTGTAAAGGTAGCTGTAATCAGCAGAGTTAAAGTCTGGGAGGACAAACACCGTCTCATAATCCGCCCCGTCTTCAAATCCCTGGACGTCGTCCGTCTTTATGACGGGAGCCTTGATTTCCTGAGGAGGAGAAATCATCATGAAAAGATGAGCTGGAGGCTGGTTGAACATTTTTATCTTATTTATCTAAATGATCAGAAAATAGTATTTAGATCATTTCCTTCATGTCAACAATAAAAAACATGAACTTTTCCTCCTTCCTTCCTTTCACTCTGCAACAAACTATTTCATTAAGTTTTAAAATGATTGCCAGTATAACGACTTTTTAAGCAGGAATGATTGGCAGCTGCAGACGTTTGTTCAATTTTATAAAGTAGTTTAAATTAACGACCTCATCAAACATCAGGGAGGAAAACGTTCACGTTTCTACTGCACTAAAGGGGAACGCAGTTTTTCCCATTGGGTTGATTTTCCTTTTATTCCATCATTTTCTACTCTCCCATCTGAGTTTAGTGTCATTTGGAGCCGTTCTGAAGATATTCCGTTAGCTTATATCCAGTAACGTCTTCCTATGGGCAACGACTTGAAGGCACAAACTAAACTGTTCATCATTTATTCTTTATGGTACGCCAGCATTCAGAACATGGAGGCCAATCACTGGCCCCCAGACATCCACAGGTATATTTTTATATTTATATTTTTTTTAAACAAAGCGGAGCGTGTATGACGTCATCAGCGCGGCAGACTGGAGTAGTGACAGGCAGCCCAGGCCACAGGCGGCTACGCTCTACCCCTTCTATTCATTCTAGCTCATCTGAATCGTTCATCTGCAGAGCGAGATCATCTGTGGTAGCAGCACTAGACATCTTCCAGGCATGTGAGGAAAACTAGCAGCAGTTCAGCGGACAGGATGAATGAACGGTAGCCGGCGCACGCGGATGACATCATACACACGGCGCTTTATTTTAAAATAATATAAATATAAAAATCTAACGGTGGATGTGTGGGGGACAGTGATTGGCCTCCATGTTCTGAATGCTGGCGTACCATAAAGAATAAATGATGAACAGTTTAGTTTGTGCCTTCAAGTCGTTGCCCATAGGAAGACGTTACTGGATAGAACCTAACGGAATATCTTCAGAACGGCTTCAAATGACACTAAACTCAGATGGGTGAGTAGAACATGATGGAATAACGGAAAATCAAGGGACCAATGGAGAAAAAAAACGGCGTTCCCCTTTAAACCTTTCAGAAGATAATCCCAGATACAATAAACATCCCATAAGGCAGTGGTTCCCAAACTGTGGGGCAAAAAGGGGCTTGCTTTGACTGAGCATAATGGACAGTTGTGACACTGCAACCCAGATTTGAGAAGATCTACAGCAACAAGCAGGCTCACTACAGCCACTGAAAAGATGGGAGGATTAAAGTACAAAGAAAAAACTCTCAGGGAGCTGTTCAATGTTTTCACTCCATTTTGCACAGAGGCTTTTTTAATGTATTGATGATAGCAAAGTTAAATATTGTTACAAATAAAAAAAAAAGAAATGTTTAAAATAACACAGACAACAAAGAATCCTCTTCTAATCTACAGTATAGAACTATGAAAAAAAATACAGTTACACAAAAGTGTTCCACTGTGCAGATGGTGTGTAGTTTGTTTTGTTGCAACCTGAAGTGTGAAATAAACTTCAGTGGAGTTTAAAAACAAAATATGTGTATAGATTTATTATATCTGGTTGAACGCTGTGTGTGCCCTGTTGATTTTTTATTTTATTTTTTTTTGGGGGGGGGGGCGTGGAAATTTTATTGTACTCCAAAGGGGGGCCCAGAAGATAATCTTTGGGAACCACTGCCATAAGGTGACAAAAAATGACAGGTACAGGCAGCGCCATCCCCGCGGCGTCACACCACCGTCACCACCCATGTGTTCCCAGACGCTGCTTAATTTGGATGAAGGTGTGTTTCTCTAGCCTGGCGTAGTCCTACTCAATTCTAGTCAGAATGAGTCTGATGCTGCTCCATAGAGCTGTGATTATGGGGCGTGTTTCGAACGAACCAGGAAAAAAAATGCCTCTGCACTCAATTGGATAGACCTACAACCAATCAGAGCAACGGAGTGTGTGACGTATGTTAAGCAACGCATAGTTGTTGTCAACAAAAATCAAAGCGTGCAGTTGCACGCCTAGAATAAGAAGATGAGCCTTGATCGCGTTTCTCTGTTCCTCTTTAAAAATTAATTTGCTGTCGATATCTTCTAGAACAGACCTAATAGCAGAATCTACTCACCTCAACTCTCCAGCGGCAGCCATTGTTGTTGTCACCCAAGCGCGCTTTGGTCACGTGGTTGATTACGTTACTGTTGATCATCTGTCCATCATCGTATAAAGCCCGCCCTGACAATTTGATTGGATCGCCTGACAGTGGGCGATCATACTCGCGCTACTATGGAGCAGAGCCAGACCGAACTTCCCGATCTCAAACCTTGTGGGCGGGACTAAGTTCGGAATGGCACCCAGGCTAGTGTTTCTCCTTTCCAGTCCGTGTCCAGATTAAACCAAAGGATCTCTAAGTCTGACAGCACTAGTGAGGTGATGATGCGGCCTGACTGAATGCCCGTGCAGCGTGTCCCTACGTCCCCTCAAAGTGTCAGACAGTCATTCACACAGCTCTGTACCATAGGGACTATAGATTTGATCATTTTCTCCTCGGAGCCCGCCTCGCCTTCTCTGATCTTTACTTCAGGAACCTCCATCACTCTGATGGCCTGTAAACCAGCAGGACATAGAGGTCAAACAATGGCATTAGGAGAAGAAGAAGGAAACCAGAAGAGAAGAAAGAAATGGGCAGATAGAGAATAGCAGGAAGTCAAGAACAAACGCCAACAAATGACCATCAGAGAGACAGAAGGACGGCGAGGAGCTGGATTAAAAGTTTAAATGGAATATGAGCCTAAAGCTGGGCTCTTTGGGGCCGACTGGGCAGCAGGCCGCTCCCTCTGAGCCCTTCATGTTAAAGGGAGGTTTTCCTCTCCACTGTGGCAGTGTGCATCCTCAGTATGAGGTACAGCAGTGAGCAATGCATGGCCATGCCTGCTGCCTCTACCTGCTCGCCCTGCAGAGCTCAATTCCTGCCTTTTTTTTGCACTCAAAGAAACACGACTTTATCTTTACTGAAGTGCAGCTTCAACTTAGAACGGTCGTTGTCAATAGCAACAATATGTTTGCAATGAAGACATTGTTGCTACGGCAACACCACTAACTCCTTGAGGCACGTAATCGAGCACAGGTTTGGCAGCAAGGAGAGCAGAGCGCAGCCAGCGGAGCCGCCGTCCTGCCAGCAGCCCAGAGCAGAACAGGAACCATTCAGACTGGTCTGCAACAGGCAGTTTTACGCTGGTTAGCGCTGCTAATGCATGCATCCTGCTGCCTGGTGTGTAGCTGGGCTTCATTGCTACGCTAAACCAAAAGCTAACTAAACCATGAACAGATGAAGCATAGCTTGTTAAAACATTCCCATCCATTGGGTGGGCCGCTTAAAAAGCTAACCTTCGCTGTTAGCTTCAGCCTCTGAAAGGCCGGTCAGTGGGAATCCATTCGCCCCCAGAAAAATGAAAGAAAGACGAGCATCACAGACTCGGCTACCAGGTATCTGAAACATCATCCAACCCCTCAGAGCGTAGAGTTCTACTGCTGGAGACACCAGCGGCGTCTGCCGAGAGAGCAAGGCGCGCCACTGGCATCTGCCGAGAGAGCAAGGCGCGCCAGCGGCGTCTCCTGAGAGAGCAAGGCGCGCCAGCGGCGTGTCCTGAGAGAGCAAGGCGCGCCAGCGGCGTCTGCCGAGAGAGCAAGGCGCGCCAGCGGCGTCTCCTGAGAGAGCAAGGCGCGCCAGCGGCGTCTCCTGAGAGAGCAAGGCGCGCCAGCGGCGTCTGCCGAGAGAGCAAGGCGCGCCAGCGGCGTCTGCCGAGAGAGCAAGGCGCGCCAGCGGCGTCTGCCGAGAGAGCAAGGCGCGCCAGCGGCGTCTGCCGAGAGAGCAAGGCGCGCCACTGGCTTCTGCCGAGAGAGCAAGGCGCGCCAGCGGCGTGTCCTGAGAGAGCAAGGCGCGCCAGCGGCGTCTGCCGAGAGAGCAAGGCGCGCCAGCGGCGTCTCCTGAGAGAGCAAGGCGCGCCAGCGGCGTCTCCTGAGAGAGCAAGGCGCGCCAGCGGCGTCTGCCGAGAGAGCAAGGCGCGCCAGCGGCGTCTGCCGAGAGAGCAAGGCGCGCCAGCGGCGTCTGCCGAGAGAGCAAGGCGCGCCAGCGGCGTCTCCTGAGAGAGCAAGGCGCGCCAGCTGATGGAGACCAGCAGCCATCATCATCATCATCAGGTACATTCAGCCTCATATCAGCACCATGAAAGCCTTCTACCCGATTATAGAATAACAAACAGTGAATATTTGAACCAGGTGATCTAAACGCCTCCAGCTGATTAGATTTAATGAGCGACTCAACAGTTCAGAGGCTTTTCGTACCTCCAGAGCTTTGAGCAGAGCGTCATTTCTTCCTGCTTCTCCCACCAGAACTACTCGTGTTTCCACTTTCGGCAGCATTTCTGAGGAAACAGCAGCAGAGCAAAGGTCAACAAAGGAAACAGAAAGAGGAGGTCTGACTGTCGGCATGTTTACAAAGAAATCCTGAAAAATCCTAATTTCCGTCCATAAAGGAGGAACTGAAAAAAAAACGATGCTGCAGTAAAAGTTTAACATGAAGTTTTCTTCTCTTGTGATCATCAGCCGATGGCGTCATGTTGCAATCTGGGTTTCATGAACTAAATAAAGTTCGAACATCTCATCTAATAGAAAGATCCATGATGCTTTGAGTGAAGAGGATCTAATACTAATGAGCATCCAGTGCTAACGTCTCTGCTGGGTTCAGATCGGCTCAGAATCCCAGATTATTTTCTGCAGCTGGAAATCCTTCAGCTCCTTTAAACTGACACTGATGTTTACCTTCAACATCCAAACGCACCTCATTGTTAATGTGATGTAAACTTTGCATGATGAGCCATTCTGACCTGATTCCATTGATATTACAGATAAGTTGGTTTATTGATGCTAAACCTGGATAATTAAAATAATGCTGCTCTAAAGGTGCATCATCATGTGACACAGTGGACTGCAAGCTCCAGATTAATGATTTCAGAATAAAGCTCCAGATTAATGATTTCAGAATAAAGCTCCAGATTAATGATTTCAGAATAAAGCTCCAGATTAATGATTTCAGAATAAAGCTCCGGATTAATGATTTCAGAATAAAGCTCCAGATTAATGATATCAGAATAAAGCCCCAGATTAATATCAGAATAAAGCTCCAGATTAGTGATTTCAGAATAAAGCTCCAGATTAATGATATATTATCAGAATAAATAAAATGTTTCCTCCTCAGCAAACAGAGAGAAAGGAGCACAGGAAGGAGATCTCACCTCCTCCATCCTCCTCACAGGCCAGGCTGAGGAAGGCCTGGTCCCTGGTAGTTTCCATCATCCTGGAGTCACAGACTGAGGAATCAGCCAGCAGAGCTGAGGCTGTCCCTGAACACATCATGCTGCAGTCAGCCATGGCAGCCAGCCTGGGGTCCTCACACCGTAGCCTTCTGCTGTCAGTCATGACAGCTTAGCGGAGGAAGAGAAACATGAACTCACTCATTTCACTGAATTAATCCTCCGGACAAAAATAAAAATCACTTCATAAAAGATGAATTTTAACACCAGTCGGATTGAATGTTTAAAACAACCAGAGTGACGCACTTACCTCCGACTAGCTCTCTAGCTAAAGGTGCTAACTGCTAAGCTAACACGGTTAATGGGTTTAACTCCTCTGGAAACGCAGCGAAGCAGAGAAATAAGAGCTAAAAGTCGGATCAGCGCATGTTGCTCTGCCGGATAGAACCGGTCCAATAATCAGCAGCTGAATTCTCCAGACGAGCGGTTCGCTCACAGCTCAGTTCAAAAATGAAGGCAAACAAGGAGCTTCTCGTTGATTGGTCAGCAGTGACGGAACGCCCATCTGCTTCCGCCTGGCGACGCTTCTGATTGGTCCGTTCATTCAAATCACAACGCATACCTCAGACCAGGGACCTTCCTGCTACATTCAGGTGCTGTAGGAAAAGTGTGTTTCTGTTTAATAACATACAGCATTGATGATGGAAGAAACAATGTTTTATAGATTAGTATGAAAAAATAAATGAAAATCTACACATGAAATCTACCAATAGAATTCGCTATAATAATCATGCGATAAAACCACTGCAGTTCAAAAGCCATGAGATTTAAAAATAAGGAGGAAAATGCAGTGCAGGGGTGGGGGGGACGTGTGTGTGTGTGTGGGGGGGGGGTGTCTAAGGCGGTAACATCAATATACCTTTTGACAGATTTCTCATACTTTGGTTGACTGTCTTTAAATTAGTGGAATCTATGTTAGCTTTGTGAAAAAGTCTATTTGCTGTCTGAGTCCCGCTCCAGCTCTTCTGTAATTTCATGAAGTCACCTGTAAAGTCATAAATCCTGTAGATATGTGTCAGATAGACCTGCTGCTATTATCATAATGATGTCATCGTTGCTTCACCCATTCAGGAATGTTTGCCTGTAGCAACTCATTAGCAGAGGTCTAGACTAACTGGTTCCACTGATGGGTCTAACTTTCTCAGGTGTGTTTCTCTTTAATCCTCTGTGCTTTAATTGACGTTCATATAAATGCTGCTTCAGAACGAATGTGACAACTGACACTAAAGTATGCTGGTGGAGATTCTCAGTCATCCAGGTCATAGTCATTCCACTAAAGGTTAAAAACAATCTGCTGGACGTTATTTTCAAGTTTGAAGATGTTTCTCTTCCCATCCAGGAAGCTTTTTCAATTCAAAATGTCAGAAATAGCGTTTAGTTCCAGGTTTTATCCGGCAGACCAACAAAGCCTGGTTTATGTTTAGAAAACATGCAGATTGAACCAGAAGAACAAGTCTGCCCCTTTAGTGATGGATAGTCAAGCTGATTATTGAGTCACTTCATCTGGACGGGATTAAACTGATCTCAGATAATAAAGTAAAAAATCTTGGTGTTGTTTTTGATCAGGACCTGTCATTTAAATCCCAGATCAAAGAGGTTTCTAGAGTTTCCTTCTTTCATCTGAGGAATATTGCAAAAATGAGCAATCTCCTGTCCAGGGGTGATGCTGAGAAACTAGTCCATGCATTTGTTACTTCAAGGCTGGACTATTGTAATTCTTTACTATCAGGAAGTCCACAAACTGTAGTTAAAAGCCTTCGGCTGATCCAAAATGCTGCAGCCAGAGTTCTAATGAAAATTAAAAAGAGAGATCATATCTCTCCTATCCTGGCTTCTCTTCATTGGCTTCCTGTTAAATCAAGAATAGAATTTAAAATCCTCCTTCTCACATATAAAGCCTTAAATGGCCAAGCTCCATCTGATATCAGAGATCTGATTGTTCCTTATGTTCCTAACAGAGCACTTCGCTCTCAATCTGCAGGTTTACTAGTGGTTCCTAGAATTTCTAAAAGTAGAATGGGAGGCAGATCTTTTAGTTCTCAGGCTCCTCTCCTGTGGAACCAACTACCAGTTTTAGTCCGTGAGGCAGACACCCTGTCTACTTTTAAGGCTAGGCTTAAAACTTTCCTTTTTGATAAAGCTTCTAGTTAGAGTGGCTCAGGTTATCCTGAGCTATCTCTATAGTTCTGCTGCTATAGGCTTAGACTGCTGGAGGACATAGGGACCCCTTTTTCATCATTCTGCTTCATTCTATCTCTATTCTCCCACTCTGCAGAATCTGTTAGTTCAATCTCTAACGTTCTGCTCTCTCTGCTTTTTCTCATAGTAGCTTCATCTGGTCTGTTCCTGTTTGGCTGTGACTCCATCCTGGAGAGAAATATCAGCTGTGCTGCTGCCATCAACACCTTTGTTTCTAGATGTTGGAGCTTGGCCTGTTTTCCAGTGTAGTCCTGTTTCTCTGACTGTGACTAACTGGATGTGCTCTCTTCATCCTCTGACATGGGAGCTGGCTCGGAGCTGGTCTGCCTGGCTGTGTGTTTCCTGGACGGGGCCGCCTGTGGAGCTGGTTGACAGTTGCCTTTTGCATCTATGCTTCTTTTTCTATGTCTGCTTCTGTCTCCTTGAACCCCAGTGGGCCTCAGCAGATGGCCGCTCACACTGAGCCTGGTTCTGCTGGAGGTTTCTTCCTGTTCAAAGGGAGTTTTTCCTCTCCACTGTCGCTACAAGCATGCTTAGTGTGAGGGATTGCTGAAGAGTCAATGAGTCGATGCAATCAGCTGGTTTTCCTTAGATAGAAAACTTTGAATCAATCTGACTGAACTGGAAAGTGACCTGAGATGATGTGAATTGGAGCTATAGAAATAAACTGAATTGAAATGAATTGAATCCATCCATCCATCCATCCATCCATCCATCCATCCATCCATCCATCCATCCATCCATCCATCCATCCATCCATCCATCCATCCATCAGATGCTGCCAAGTCTTCTAGATTAACTGAAGGTGGCTTCAGGTTATTATCTTAGACCAGATTTACAGAATTCACATCAGGGATTAAAACAGATCCTTATAAACAGCTCTATGTTATTAAAACACACTTTTACATGTTTGAAATAAAAAATCAAAGAAACTGGAAAAGAGTTTTCCTATTATAATTTCATTTTATCAGCATGAACATTATATACATTATAAGATACATAAACAACATGATGACATGATCCATTTCAACGTTTAAAAGATAAAAACATTTTGCATGATACTTTCTAACATAAAGCATTTCCAGAAAAGAATTCATCTTTTACAACATCTGGATCAGTGAAAGAAGCTGAAGAAGAAAGTTTCATCAGTAGAAATGTCTGAGATGGACCCACAGTACAGCCAGAAGAAAATTATGCCGATAAATGATGAAGTATTGCTTAATATTATTCAGAAATAACAGTTTATTCCCAGACGGCCAACCTGAAGAGTTCAGAAAACCTCAAACTTTTCTGGAAACAGAAAACTTCAAACTGTTTGATAAACTTAAGTATTAAAGTTTGAAGTTGTGACCCGTTTTACATCAAATGTACATACTGTAAAAAATGTTAAGGAGTTAAAATCTAAACACTCCAGTTATTTACTGAAAAACCTTTAAGTTTTCTGTTTCCAGTAAAGTTTTATCATTCTGAGCGTATTCGGTTTTACAGTGTACTGAGACAGAAATGAATTCTCTGCAGATGGTTGCAGCTAATTGGTGAAAAGTTTTTATACAAAATGCTTTAGATGACAATAAGCATAAATAGTTTTTTGGTTCCCTGATTTAAAGTGGCAACTATCACAAAAAGGGCACCTTTGCTAGATTATTAAATGCAAAACTGGTAAGAATATTTTTTATAATCTTGAAAAGCAAATACTGTGATGTAATTGTTGACTACATGTCATAGTGAGGTCAGTAAATGGAAACTGTGCAGCTGCCGGGTCCTTCCTGTCTGACCTGCACTGTAAAATGTGACGTTGTTGCAGAAACGATGTGAGAAACTGCATCAAACTGATTTTAAGACAGTCACACTTGGAATATGACCAATTAGATAACATTTACTTTCCCATTTCTAATACTTGTGCAGCCCTTGAAACAAATTCTGTAGATAAAATATTAGAATGTGCCCTGACTGTGTGCAGCAGGAAAACAACAAATCAAAGTGTGAAATGCTCTTAGCAGAATCTCATTATGTAGAAATGAGTGAATTTTTTATTTTTTCTCTCTGGGACATGAAGCATAACAGAAAATGGAGACAAATCAGTTTCTGAAAACAGAAACGATCATTTCCTCCGAAGGCCATCTGGCTTCTTCCCATGATTATGTTCAAAGCAGAAAACACATTAGATTTGATTTATTTTTCTGCTGGGAAGTGATTTAACTATCATTAGCTGATAAAGGAATTTGTTTTAAATTAGATTTTCTCAGATGAAAGAGGAAATGTGTTCATGTTGCACAAATCAGTTCACTTTATATGAAAAAGCCAGATATAGTCATTTAAGCATGGCTGCATGTATTGACGCTGCAGACGATGCTTTGCTTATACATCATGGACTTTTTCCACTTGAAGGGTCATAACATCTCGCTGTGGATGGAGCAGAGCGCCCCTTCATTTAACTGCAGCCGCTCTGTCAGGATGCACCAGTTCATCAGTTTGGTAGAAACTCAACTAAACTCTCCCTTTATGTGCAGAAGTTGCCATTATGATCCTGAGTCACATAAAAACTGGAATATTCTAGCATTACCAGCATGTTTTTCAGTATTTGCACTTAAAGTCTTGTAAGAAACGACTTCTCATCCTGTTAAAACAATCCAGGCATTTTTCAAGCAATTTTACAGACATTAAAAGATAAAGTCAAAAAGTCTCCTCAGGAAATATTCAAACCCTTTCAGTTGCTTCATTCTTTGAAGAACATATTTCTATTTTTGTGTGTTTGTAATAAACTGAGGCCGTACAGAGATGATCTGGGGTTTGCATGAAGTCTGCATGTTCTCTCTGTGCTGAAAGGGTTTAGATTTTTTTATTGAGGCTCAAACAGCTGCAGAAAACTTATGATTGATTTATTTTAATGTTGCCATGATCAACCCATCCATCCGAAGCAGCACCGTCCTTCCCGCCCATTCCTTATAGAAGGAAGGAGACGCCTTTTCCATTCTTACTGGTTAGAATTAAAAACTTTGCTTGGTCATAAAAGACAATAAATGAAGAAACTGTCTGAATATTTAAGCTTTTAAGTTTAATGTTTCACTCCTGCACTGATTTACAGAATTAAGCAGCTTTATTTTATTGAATTTTCCCGTCTCTGTTTGCTGGTAAGGTGAAAATTTAAGACGCTTGTTTGCTGGTAAGGTGAAAATTTAAGACGCTTTTATTTAAATAACTGCATAATAAAAAGATTTTCACATTTTTTTTGTCGCCAGTTTATTTTAATGTTTCCTGTCTGGAAAAAGGCAACACTTAATAAAGCTTTAGCTAAATGTATCTATGTAAATTAATCTAAGTTTCCTTCTTTAAATATTTCATACATTTTACCAAAAATAGTTTAAATAAAATCAAGAATAATAATAATTGAAAAGTGTAATAAATAAAGGTCTGAATAATTTCTGAGGAGACTGCAAATATGATGTATGGAAAGCAGTTAGTGGATATAATTGCTCTGCTACATTGGATTAAAATGAATTCAGGCTTTCCAGGTCTGCTGCAGCAAAGATCAGAGAATTAAAGAGAAAAAATAAGAACAGAAAGGTAGACCTGCAGTCCATCAAAAAGATCTACAACTTGTTCAAAGCTTTTCATATCAGTTGATGGATGTTTGTTTGCCGTCCATCTGTCCAAGTGCTGACGTCATTTTCTTCAAACTCTGAGCTGCTGTGCAGAGATCACTGACGATGTCTGAAAACAAACAACATAGAGAGAGTTTGTTCAGGTTTGCTGTAAAAACATGACAAATACTCTAGGTCACATTCATTTGTAGTAGTCAGTATAGAAATGCACAATCCAGACTGAGGAAGAATTCATTTAAAGGAAGGCAGACAGAGGCAGTCATTACAGACAGCAAACAAAACAAAACAAACATGACGATGCTTCACTGCTTTCCAGAGAGGCTTCAGAAACGGAGAATAAATTCTACGACCAACCAAATCAATCACATTGAAAAGATGAAGAAGGAACAAACAGAAACTTTCTGCTGAAATTGTTTCAATAATGTGTGAACGGTGCAGAGTCTGACATTAGCTCTGATAAGACATAAAACAATCAAAGGATAAATTCCTCAAATGTTAAACAAGTTGATCGTCTTCTCCTCTAATCCACCTAAGGAAGCAAAGCAGACATAGAACTGAGGAGGAAGAGATGCAGCATAGAAAACATCAGCAGACAGGCTGCATGTCGTTCAGCATAAACACATTCAGTGCATAAAAAAGATAATAAAGTTTGTCTAAGTATAAGTCTAAGACTGCTTTTAATCGAAATGAGACTTTTAAAGTCCAGCAGCAGTAAAGAATAAGTGGAATAATTGAGGCTCATCGGTCGTTTTCGATGCATCTCTGACTCTGAATCCGTCGGCTATCAGGGTTAGCCTGATAATCAGCCATTCGCTGTCAGCAGGTGAATTAGAGCAGGTGTGCATCTAAAGCTGGAGGACATCATCTGTCTGGGGCTGGAGCTGAGAAACCTCCAACGACGATGCAGGGATAAACATTCAGCACTAACTGGGAGCTGATCCAGTAGCATAAAGAATCAGCGACTTTAGAAACACGTTACAACCATTTAGTTTTTATGCACAAAAGCTCCATAAGAAGACGTTCATCCTCTGGGTTTTAACATGAAAACATTTCAGAAAGTAATGGAGTATTATTACTTTTTAGTGAGCTAAGGGGAAAGGAGACTGGCACCAGAGGGCGACAGAGAGTAACTAAAGACTAGCTTTAAAAAAACACGAAATGGAACATAAACCAAAGATCAACAAAACAGAATTACTGAAAACTCAAAGTCCAAAATGTAAAAACCATGACACTGCTTTCCAGGAATTTCACTGATCCCAGGGATAATAAAAATGGTGCAAAGGAAGGTTTGAGTACCAGAAAATGAGATTGTAGATTTTTCTGTAGAATAGTCTTAATTTGGTAAAAGGTGGTTTGGGTTAAATTATTCAAATAAACTGAGAAGCTCAAAGGAGCGTCTAAAGCCCTCCAATGGTTCCTGGCCTCATGGGGTCGTTAAAGACTAACGCCTCAACTCTGATCAGTTTTTAAACAGTAACAATGTTCAGACATCCAGAGATGGAATAACAGGATATCTGGCCAGAGAAAATAAATCAATTAAACTGTTTTGTTTTTTTCTTTTCCTTGCAGTCTCTGGTTCAGCCATGCCAACATTTTTAATCTAACCAGCTCCAGGAAGGGGGAGTCTCAGGTGAAGTCCCAACGAAACAGTCCAATATTTGCTTTAATGTGTCTGTTTTATCTGGTCACATGGGGTAGGCAATGACCTCATCGACTGATCTGGACCCAGAATCCAGGATCCTGCAAACATGCTGCAGAAAGACCCTGGGCCAGGAACCAGACCAAGGCAGCCGTGCTACAAACACTGTGACGAAGCAAATGAAGAAAAAACACCCGATAATGCTCCTCCTTTGATGAATCCGGGTGACCGTTGCCATGGAAACGTTTGCAGGTGAAAACCAGAGGTCATTTGCAACAAGAGGCTGTTTTATGGTTCAGCCTGGCCTTTCAGTTGAAGCCAGAGAACATTGAAATGTAGGAACAGAGATCTTCTCCTCAGTGACCTTTAGTGGATTTCTGACAGGTTCATACGGCTGGAGAAGGTTTATTGCATCATTAGCGTTAGCTGCTAGCTCATCTACTGAGCCGCTAGATCGGCCTCAGCTGTCAGACCAACACAAAGGAAGACTCAGTAACTTTGAGGAAACGCTGCTTTATTTCCATTATGCCGTAAATTAGTAGCAACTAAGTTCATTTAGTTACCCCCCCCGAACAGCATAGTTCAGAATCCCCTCAAAATACATTAAAACATGAAGAAAGCTGTATGATCCACTAAGTGTGGATGAGTATAATCTATAGGTTATCCTTCATGGAGGCGAGTCTGGGAGAGAGAGACCTTTTAAAGCCCATAGATGAAGACGACAGGAGACGGTCTGGAAATATGCATGAGTCGATGAAAAACGAGCCGAGTTACAGCGATACGAACTTTTATCTTACAGAATAAGCTCTTTTATCCAAACAGCCACCAAGCAGAGGCGGCTTGCTCATAAAGATGGATGCCGTCTTCTGCCTGCAGATCAGGGAGGAAACAGACGCAGTTCTCATCAGAAGGTCCTTTTTTCCACCCGCCTCCCACAATTCCATGCTAGACACCATGAAAAATAAACTAAGATTCATCAATAAATACAGCAGAGTCACTGAGTCAAACGGTTTGAACCAATCATGATCTGGTTGACTTGGATCTATAAAGTGACCTGAGATGAGGCTCACAATAAAAACACATGGAAAGAAACAGAATAGCAAATGATGCCATATTAGCATCCAGCTAATGTCTGATATTTATAAAGTATCAGTATAATGAATTCCTCTCAGTTAAAATCCTTCTGGATCATTTCTGCGAGCGATTCTTTTATGGATCACTTTTATTTACGGATCTATTCTCTTCTCTCTATGGTTTTATTAAAGCCTCCTTTAGGACGACAACGACTGCAGATGTTTTTGGGTGTCAGTTCAGACCTGAAATACTAAAATATACTGCTGAGTTGGATTTGGAAAATCACTTTGCATACGCTAAATGTTTACATTTGCGTGCCCCCCCCCCCCCCCATGCATTTGCACAGCTTGTTTACTAGAATGTGATCTGCATATTGATGAAGCCACACATGTACATAAAGTTTGCATCCAATGTCTCTGGATTATCTGCTCTGTGTCACAAAGCAAAACCTGCACAGAGAGAATTTTCTGTCTTTTAGCAGATTTGATTGGCAAAGGGTTACAGCAAACAGTTTCAAAGAGTGATGTCACAATGAGGCACCTCTGGCTCTCATGGTGACATCACTCTTTGCATCCCAGAGGTGCGATGCAAGGCAGCCATTTTAGATTTTGAAGTCAAAGTTAGTAAGACACTGGTAACAAGTTCTGTTCAAATTAAAATGAAACATAACTAAAACACATCCGTCAGTCAACCTGTGCCAAGGATACACATGCACCTAACATAGAATGCTAATTTTATCAGCCCTCTATTCAGTTTTAAATAACATCTAACTGCCTGTAGCTTCAGTGAATCATGGTTTGCATTGTTTCTTTGAGCAGTTGGTTATGCTTAGCATGCATGCAGCAACCCTTTAACAGGAAGACACCTTCAGCAGAACCAGGGTCCGTGTGAACGGTTTCTACCTTGATGGACTGGGCATAAATGGTGAAAAAGAAAAGAACAAACAGAAGTGACCTGCTGACCATCGGCTGCCTTCAGCTCAAAATCAATATTTCACTCAATCAAATGAATATTCCTCTTTAAGGTTTTATGATTAATATGCAGTTTCTGTTCCTTTAAATAAAAAACCTGCTATGAACTAAATAGACTGAGTCAGCGGGGGTCCAACACCTGCTGATTCCACATCGACCATAGAGACAAACCTGACAACAAGCAGCCCTGCTGAAAACAGGTGGAAAAAATCACTTTGTTTACTGAAACGGAGGAACTGTTTGATATTTAGGAGTTCCAGATACTAAAGACAGATACTGTTAACAGTCACAGACAAACTTCCTCTAAGACCTTGAAAAGGTTAAAAACTGAAACTTTATGAAATAATAAAACCTACCAATTTCCAGTTTCTGCTTCTTCCAAAAACTGAACCATGTCTTTGGTTTCCAGAGAGAGATCCTTGGCTTCACATGCTGCATACGTTAGCTGCACCCGGTAGCGACTGCTGTCAGCCTGTAGGAAGAAATGAGTTTAAAGCATCGCAGATAACAGAAACTACAGGCCTTCCTACCGCATTAAAAGGGCCAAAAATACTCTGATCTTAATTAGCTTTGGTCTACAGGTCATGATATCTTTGTAAAATAAATCATGCAACCAGAACAAAAAGTTATGAATTAATTTCCATTTAGTCCAACTGCTCTATCTACAGATACTATTTATAATTTCCTTCTACTGATAAACACAGAAGCTGCATCTCGGCTTTTGTTAGAGAAATGTCAGTGAATTATTTGAAAAGTGTTGATCAATTTATTTTCCAATATGTTAGTGTGGCTTTAACTGCATAGGAAGAAGGGTGCTGATTTCAGGGAAGTCAACACTGATTTATAGAAGTATAAAAGTTTCTTTTCTCTCTTAAATGTCAGTTGGTCATGAAGAACTAATTCAGCTGCAGAAGGAACCAGTTGTTTTAAACTCAAAGTGATTTCAGAGATGAGAGGAAATGTGGACAATGCAGAAATAAAGGGATGATTTATGTAAAAGCCATCTTGTTTCATCTGGTACTTTATTAAGTCATTCTTAGTGTCAATAATTCACAAAGTTTCATAAAATTAGATGTGAAATAAAGATATTTTTATTATGTAGCTGTTTAAGTTCAGCCACTACAGACTATAATCAATCTATGTGTGTTTGAATCTTGTTTAACAGCCACATACATTCTTATTGCTGCTTTCATCCTCAGAAGAGTTGGAGGATTCTTCTCCACTGGAGGGAATCGTCTCAAAGTCCTCTGTGTCCATGGAGGGGAGTCTTCTCTGGGTCCACCCTAGGGACAAAACAGAACTTTAGCTCGCATTTTAGCTCCCATTGGCACATTAGCACACATTTTAGCTCCCATTGGCACTTTAGCTCGCATTTTAGCTCCCATTGGCACTTAGGCACAAGGGC